CCGTTTTATACAGGTAATTAAATAATAAATAATAATAATAATATATAACATTTAAACAATTAAAGAGAAATATTTCAAGGGGGGGCGGGGAGATTCCGTTAAGACAGGTTTCCGTTTTACACAGGTTTCCGTCGGAGACAAAAAAGTAGAGACGCGTTACTATTCGATTTAGGTGAGATTCTGAATGGGATTTAGATCTAAACACCATTTCTCTTTCTTTACCGTCACGTCATACCCTCATCCACACATGAAAAATGGAGTCAGAACATTCTAGTAATTCTAGTCAATATTTTGATTAAAATTTCAAAACATACCTTACTGCATGTTTCCTCTCCGTCGGTACAATTATTGATCTGTCTTGGCCACGTCCCCTCTCCTTATTCCTGGCCCGCATCTCATTGCATTGGTGCACACAATACGCCAAATCTTTTCTATTCTTCTTCTTCTACTCCTTTTTCTTTGTCATTTTCTTCTTGTTCTTGTTTTTCTTCTTCTTCTTCTTCTTTTTCTTCTCCTTTTTCTTCTCTTTCTCCTTCTTCTCCTTCTTCTTCTTCTTCTTTTTCTTCTTCTTCTTCTTCTTCTTCTTCTTCTTCTTCTTCTTCTTCTTCTTCTTCGTGGGTGGTTGGCATGTGCTCTTGTGTGGTTTACTCCTTCTTTCCTATCCAAGCACCTATGGTCCTTATCTCTCCTCCTCCTGTTTTATGTATGTAAATCTCTCGTAACGCATCTATTCTTCGACACTTGTATGACCTTATTGTTGCATCAGCAAGTGCCGTAAAACTCTTACTAAAACTATTTTTTTAAAAACTTCCTCTTCCTTCACTGGAGCATAAATTTGATGAATTGATTAATTATGCGCACATTTATTGACCAACTTCACTATACACTACTACTTCCGACGTATTGACTGAGGTGACTCCTCGCTCCTTCTGTCCCTATAGGAAATAACAAGGGGAAGTGACTTTGAGAGGAATAGACCATGAAATGTACAGCGTGACATAGTTTTGAGGCGCTGCGTCACCGATCTCGCGTAAATAACATGATGCGAAGAGGGGCCAGCTGATGAGTGAAATATCTCTCACTAGTCATCTCCGTTTCCGTTAAGGCAGGTTCGACTGTAAATCGAAGTGTCTATTCGGACTCGAGTCCGAACAGCCGCTGGAGGCTATTCGGACTCAAATTCCGGTGTGCAATCACCGGTTGTACCGTAAGCTAAGCGAGGTCTATACTTGAGTCCAAATAGTCTCCTGTTGCTTTTCAGACTTTAAACTACTGGTAGGCTATTACACTGTGTTTCACGACTACAAAGGGATCAAAACATAAATTCATAATAATCTGTCCTTCCTTATAATACAGTCCCCCCCCCCCCCCTCTCTCTCTCTCCCTCCCTCCCTCCCTTAATCCCTCCCCCTCTCTCTTTCTCTCTCTCTCTCTCTCTCTCTCTCTCTCTCTTTTTTCTCTCCATTTTACATCCCCAGGCCTGCCCTACCACCTTCACCCCTTTTTTTGCTTATATCTATATAGATCTATATATTCCCTCCCATACCGTTGCCCACTGCCCAGCCCTACAATTAAATTACAGTCCACGCCGGCCTTAAGCATGCCGGCATAAAGCACGTTTCGGACTCAAGCACGCTAAACGGCTCTTACCAAATTTTTGCTATGTATATATTACACGCCTTTAAGCACAGTAACTTCGGCTTCAGGCACGCTTCCTTTACAAGACAGTGAATACCATGATGACCCATCGAAGTTTGAACACAGTCTACACCGCAGCAGTGAGTGTGTTAAAAAGAGAAACAAAAACAGCGCAAGTGATGGACACACACACACATGCGCAGAGAAGAAGGCAGAGAGATGCACACAGCCGCGCGTGTGGACATAGGATCTCACCTAGGGCAAAGCTACACACAGACAAAAAAAAAATACAAAGAGAGTCGGGGAGATGAGAAAAGGAGGCAGGCTGCGATTTCACCTTATTGCCCCTCACTATCCGATAATCCTGATTTGGTATCACGCGCGAGGTGGGATCAAAGACTGTGTTTGGGGGGTGAAGGCGGTGGTATGAATGTGGTACAGCGGGCAGTGGTATGCACAGGCAGTGTGTAGGCCTCGTGTGCTGTATCGTGACTGGCCATGTAAATAAGTTTTCCTTTCCCATTCGATCACAGAACAAAACAAACAAACAAACAAATGAAAACTACCATGGCGGGTAAAAATAACTGCACTTTTTGCAGGACCACTATAGGCTTACTTACTAAGAGAAAAAGCTCAGGAAATTTTCTACATGAAAATCTCTGGATTATATCTACTTCGCACTCAAGCACGCTTCGGCTTTAAGCACGCTTCAGCTTTCTCCCGATGACCGTGCTTAAAGCTGGCGTGGACTGTATTATCCTTTGTAAAGAAAACACCACAGTTCGCTCTGGGTCATCACAGTCGGCGTCCATTTGTTGGGCAGATCGTAGAAACCGAGGAAGGCCAAGGTCGAATTGCTTGTTTTCTTCACATCTGGTACACCTAGTGATTGTGCGCCACAGAATTCTACACTTAGTGCACGCGCATTGGAGTTTGAGTCCGAATAGCCGCAGCCTTATTGAGAATCTATGGTAACTCAATGGCCTTATAAAAATAGTCTGTGGGTATCCCAGGAAGTGATGACATCACATTACTATAATTAACAGCCAGTCGGGAAGATGTGTCGTTCTATGTTTAGTCACATGTGGGTTAGGGTATACGCGCTCAAAATATCCCCTCTTTTGTGTGTTGTTAGTCGGCCTGCCCTCTGTGGAACTCCTTCCGTGATTTATATATATATATATATATATATACTAAATCTAGATCTATACACAGTACACATTTCCGATTTAGTTTGATACAGACGGGGCTGGCCAGGATTTTCCATGGCACCATATATCAAATCTTCCCAAAACAACAATCTTTTCTTTGTTTGATTTTGGAAAATTGAATTTGTAGACTATAATTTGGGTAAATTTTTTTACTTTCACTCCCACACACAGATGATGGACTGCTTTGGGGGTTCAAACTAGTGCTGTGCGATTTTGAGGAAACAAAAAATCATCGAAGCTTCGAAGTGTGAGCTCACTATTCATGACATTCGAATACCTCCGTCGATTGTTTTTTTTTTTTTTATATATATGATACGCATAAACCTTAAAAACTGAATGTCAAACAGTAAAGTCGAATGGGCACAGCTCTAGTTCAAACTGCAGTTAGTTGTGCTTTCCTGCAGATCACAATATGTATAGCCACTAAAACAGCCGCAAATCAATTATTTTAAAGAAAATTTCAAGGAAGTGGTTATTCTCACCTCTCACTCCGGGTGAGACTTGTCAGCGTAGGCTATTCTCACTCGGTGTCGAACAAGACCTGTTTTTCCTAATTTTTTAATACTGTATATCGGTGTGGATGATCGAATTGACAAAAACATAAAAATGTGATAGCACTAAAGTATACTAATTTGGAGGTCTACAGAAATGATATGGCTATTAAGTATTACACTTTTCGAAGCGAGCCGAACTACGCTGGTCGCCATCTTGTTTTACCCCGAAGTTCTCGCTATATTTAGGCTGCTCCTCTCTCTCCCTCTCTTTCTCCCCCCCCTCTCTCTCTCTTTCAATGCCCGCCGACAAAATTGCACGCTTCAACACAAGAGCGTTGGAACGTTTGTTAACACCACAGAATTCAATAAAAAGTGTAGAATTCTGTGGTTTTACACCGTGTATCAGTATCACGGTGAACGCACACCGGGTGAGAATAGCCAAAAGGCTCGCCCTCTCACCCCGGGTAAGAAGCCTGCAACTGCGCTATTCTCATCCCGGAGGTGGCCAAATTTCAAACCTAACTGCAAAATATCAAATTATGGGTTGACTGTTACCTCCCAGATTTTTTTTTTTTTTTGCTTCAAGCCCTGAAACCCCTCAAATGGTCCAAAGCAAGCAGGTAGCTCGATTAAAAACCATCAAATGTTTCAAAAACTATAAATTTGCGATGGAAATGAAGTTGATATTCGTGTTCAGCCCATCAATATACAGGCTATAGAAAATTGACACCTGGTATCTAATAATGAGATGGGAGGGGAAGTAAAAGAATACCATAATTTGTTCAAAATCAAATTGCGCCTAAATGGTAGCTTTTGTCAGTTCTTGGAGGAAAATCTAGCTGGTCGCGACTCAGTTCTTGTGAAGACTAGTGAAATCAATGAGTAGTTTTGCACTTTGTAAAATTTATGGTAAAGGTTTTGAGATAGGAGTTGAGTAAGGGCAGGGGATAGAATGGTGATACTTGGGGCGAGCAAATTTAAATGAAAAAAATCATGATTGTAAAGAATTTTAAAATAAAATGGGAAGGCTCTTATTGTTGTAAAAATTCAAGTCTATGTGTTAGGCGCGTTTTGTCGATTTGCGCGATTGGTGGATCGCGCAACGTATTTTATGGATCCATGGAATGCCCAACAATCCATTGATGGTTGCACATTCTAGAGATCCACAAAATGCGTTATTTAGTCATACGTATGATGTTAACTTCCGCTTAGCGCAATGTCAACAATATGGATATTGACAGTCGTCATCTTATGTTTACGCCTTATTTCATAGCAGAAATATGAAACACTCGACTGGTATGATCTAAGATCTGTTGCGCATTCTACAGATTCTTAAAAAGCGCTGCACGATCCACCGATCTAATACAGAATGTGCAACAATCGATGTATTATTGCGCATTCCAAGGACACTGGTTATATCAGGCATGCACACTGTTTTTGTTGTGCCAAGTGTTCAGATACTCACCAAATTTAAAAAAATGCTTTTAATGTTGTAACTTTATTTTTCGAACCAGTCTTTTCATTCCTTCTATTAGAAGAAAGAATCAGTGAACTTTTTTTTCCCACTATTTTTCTCTTGGGAGCAATCCTTGTCAACTTTTTAGTTTTTTTTTGTTATTCTCTCTCTATAATATATTATAAATATTTGTTCTCTCAGAGCTTTATTCTTCAACAAGTGTCAAGTCCCAAGTCATCAACCATGGCGTCTGTTCATCAGGATAATAATATCGTGGACAACACGTGGAGGAAGCAACATTTGACACAAGCTGCAAGACAGGCAGTCCTCTCATCTCTCAAGATAGTCTTTATCTTTGTCATACTGTTTGCAGACATGTGAGTTGCTGCCTTCTGGGTGTTTTTTCTCTTCATTACTTTGATAATGGAAACAGTTCATTTAAAGCTGTAAATTTAAAATTGAATTACAGTATACAACACGGATTGCTCGAATTTGTTGGGACCGGCCTCTGTAGTTCGGAGACAAAGATAAAAAAGAAGAGAAAAAAATGGGGCCGCAGGCAGTTTGGCGGATGCTTGATTTCGAGTCTTCTGTGTTCTATCCGTGTTATATTGTACTTGATCCTTTTTGGGGGGTCCCATTGCACTAGGTAACAAGAGAATATTAGAATGGTCATCTTTTTTTACATCTGTTTTGTGAAACCATAATGCTGGTGTGTTTTGCTGTCGCCCCACTAGCTAACGTGTTGTTTGAATTACTGTGTGCACACTTGCTGCACTAAACAACCTTTTATCAACAGTAACTCACTGAAAACATCTCCAATTATTTGAATTTCACTTCCACAAAGAGAAAAGCCACACTGAAAGCTGTCACACGATGTGGCCTCTCAAACTTGCTTATGATATATTTTGTGATTCTGTAACCATATACCTGGTCAACTCAATTCTAAATTATTATTGCTTCTAAAACTGTTACAATGTTGTAGCTTGAAAGATAGTTGTGTTTGTGAGGCAGTATGATGAAATCAGGAGCTCATCAAAAGAATGAAATGAAAGAAATCAGCATTTTATTGGCTGATGGGCAATTTTTTTCTGATTTTCTTTTAGGCCAAACATGTTTTATGTCCTTTTAAAAACAAATACCTGTGTGGATTTTACTGAAAACCCAATGGCACAAAAAATGTAAATTTCCAGTTTCCAAGGACTGTCAGGCTATGGAAATTAACAAATTTTGGCGGCCATTTCCTCATTAATTTTATCTCTAAATCCAGGAAACCCTGACCTCCTTAAAATGCAAATATTTTGACTTCTATTCAACATAGATGGTTATTTTTTTTTTACCAAAAGGGAGGCAAATGAACAGGCTTTAAGAAGAAATATCAATAACCCCATATGCCCAAAATTTTGTCGAGTGCCTGATTCCACCACGTCATGACACATATAGTATTATAGATTAATATTTAAATTGCTGACAGGTTATTTTTTTTGGTGAGATCGTTCATCAGCACTTTCGAGTGAAAGTGTCGTTTAAAAAATGTTTTATTGTGTGTATTCCTCTTTAAGCGGAGGTAGTTTTGAAGAGTTAGCTCTGTGCATATATTATTTTCTGGATCTGGTAAAAAACTGTCTTTTTATGTTCAACAGGTCCTATTCCATCGTGTCTGGCCCTTTGTCTATCGACCACCCCATTGTGTGGTTTGTCGGTAAGTATTCACTGTGAACATCTGGAGTAGTGGACTTATTGTTCTCAAGTTTGATTTGGAGGTGTATTGTTTTGTCAATATGATATTGATGTCAACTCAGTTTCTGATTTTCTTTGACAAACTGTTTATAAAACAAAGTTCAGTGGAACCTGCTCTAACGGCCATCCGTCCGAACACCCCTTCCCACGTACCCCCTTGCAATATTCTATAATATCATAATGACAAAGTCCAAGTACAAGAGGACCACCTGTCTTAGATGACATCTTTTGTCCCTGACAATTGGCGGTCGTCCTGGACAGGTTCATCAGTATTCTCGATTGATGCAACAAAATTTAAGGGAAACTACTCTAGTAACGTGTTACCATTCAAGTAGTCTGCCGTGTAATCCTATTTTGTCATAAATAAGTAGCACTCATAGCCCTGAGGATTCTTCACTTCGTGTGTTGTACGCACTATCAAAAAGGTTAAGCTGTCTTATTTCTGGTGGGGGTTTATAGGGTGACGTTGTTTGGTCCTGCTTATTTATTTCCCCTCTATTGCTTCTGTCTGTCTTGCCAGTTCCCAGAATAAAATTGCCATTATCCTTTGGAGATGTTTCTTTTAAACTCAAACGTACTAAAGAGTCTATTTTACTTGAGCTCTGCTCTGTCTTGATTTGCCACATGAAAGTGCAATTCCTGTTTTATTTTCAAATGATCGCTTCTTTTATTAAAGTGTGTACAAGGTTGCTATGGATGGTTGGAGGGTGCTCTGGTGTGGTTTGCTCTATCTTTCCTATCAAACATTTATAATCCTCGTTCCTCTTCCTTTTATTTGTATATTACTCTCTTGTAACATCTTTAATCTTCAAAGCTTGTAATTTGTGTTGTAAGTGTGGTAAAACTCTTGCTAAAAAAAGCTAAACAGAGAGGTTGCATATGTCACCTTTTCCCCCTTGGTCTACATCTGCAACCTGTTAATAATCTTCAAGATCAGGAGACTTCTCATGGCCTCATGGGGCACATGAGCAGTGATAATTTTGCTCAAAGTATTACTTGTACTTATCCCAAGTCTTATTAAGCAGTGATATAAACAGTGGGTAGTGTATACCGTTAGTTGTGGGATAAATTTGGCCATAACAAGTGCTTCATAAGTGCTTTACGTCACTCTCTCTCTCCCACAGAGTTGTCTATAGCAGTCCTCCTCCTGTTTCAAATTGTTAGTAATGGATTGTTTTTATGCCGTTATTTCTGGAGCTACTTGTTCGGATCAACTGTCAGTGTCACTGAGAAACAGAGACGCCTGATGGCTATTCCATTAAATGGTAAGTGATAGTTATTCTTTCGACTTTTTTGTCTTTTATTTGATGATGTTCTCCACTCACTTTTGGTGTGTGTGTTGGGGGGGGGGGGGGGGGGGGGTTAGTTCTTTTTGGAAAGGGTTGGGAGGGTATTACATATGTCTTTCTTTATCATTTAACACTTTAATACGCCGGTGAAAATGATCTGTTCTGGTCAGTTGCGCAGTTCTGCGCCAGGCCCAAGAAGTCGGTTGTTGTCGCTCACCTGGCTGGGTGACCAGATGGGGTATTTTGTACTGTTGGCTGTGTGACTGCAAAGTGTCAAAGTGTTTCTACACGGAAGTGGAAAGTAAACTATTTTTTATAGATTACAGTAGCATCCAGGATCAACAGCTGTGGTTACTGGTGTTTTTTGACTGAAAATAACATTTGAAAAAGACAATCACAGACATAAGTCTGTCCAGTATGTTGACTGACTAATCTCTCCTGATTATGTAGAACAGATTAATGGGCTTGATCTCAGAGGATCAAAAACTTTAGTGAAATGTTGTTTACTCAACTCACTGGGATAAATTTTACTTTGTTGATGTATGGCAACTGTGAAGATTTCTGGTAAGTATGCATGGTAGTTGCTGTTTCAATTGTTGATGTGCAAAGGAAAATGTGTTCTTTTTAATATGTCTAATGTGTTTTAATGTGGATAATGTTATTTTCAACAAGTACCACTTGCAGTGTGTAGAGATAAAGGGACTTAAGAGTGTCACATGTTCTTGTTGTTTTGTTTCTTATGCTAAATGTGTTGTCTGACTTTTACTCTGTTCTTATGAATTTTCAGACAAAAGTTTCCGAACACCGCCAAGAAATTTGGGAGGACCTTCGTCTTCCACACCTCTGACCTTCAGTGCTGGGGATTCCAGTCAGTTTCTTTCAAGAAGTTTCACATCCCCATCTCCAAATGTCTCTTACTCTTCACCTCTTCACTCTTCTGCTACGTATGGGTCACCGTATGGGTCTTTCTTGAGCTCATCCTCAGGGAAAGCCAGCTTCAATGCTAGTCCGAACTCGTCTCTTGACAGGGTAGGTTATCTCTAGGATCCCGTGTGCACGGTATGGTGAATACGGAATTTTACTCTCTGCATCTATATTGATTTAGATCATTGTTCATTTTAATGACAGTGCTCTTCATTATTTATTTATTTTTTCATTTATTCTTTTTTTTTTATTGTTGTTTAAAAATGATTTCACAACGCTATATTATAGTATATTGAATATTTGTGCTACAGCGTGGTGGAATCAGGCGCTCATCAATTTTTCAGTTTATAGAGTTTTTAGTAGAATCTCAAAGTGAAAAAAATGCTGATTTATTTTGAAAAGATGTCGAGATACTTGTGATTGAATGAGATGGGGGTCACTTGGTTTCAGAGGTGAAATTAGCTGTAAAATAGTCGCCAAAGTTTTGCGACTTACAAGGCTTGAGTGACCTTGGAAACTACATTTACAATTTTTTATGCCTTTAATCGTTTTTCAATAAAATCTACATAGAAATGTGTTTTTTTAATGAACATTAAAGGTGTTGAGCAAAAAAATTTTTTTAATCCGATAAAAATTGCCCAACAGGTAGAAAAATGTCAATTTCTTCTATATCTTCATTTTGACGAGTGCCTGATTCCACCACGCTGTCATACATTTTGTAAGTATAAAAATGTGATGGCAGGTTGATTTCCATGTCTTTGATTTTTCTATAGTAGGTGAAAGGTTGAAAGGCGCGGCCATTGTTAGTACTATAAATACTCTCACCCTGACTAACTTTTCTTTATTTGTTTCCCTCTAAAAGAGCCTGAATCTATCTGGCATGTCCCAGTCGTTTGGTCGTCCAGAATATGACAGAACAAGTCTCAGGTCTCGGAGATCAACATCACTGCCAGTCTCCTCTCGATGTAAGTGTCCAGCATTGATGCCACTGGTTTAAAAAAGTTTCTCTTTTATATTTCCAGCATTCTTTTTTTTTTTTTTTTTTTTTTTTGTGATCATGTCATCGGCTTCTCAAGACCCTATCTTTCATTTTTTACAAGAGATGTTGTTATCATAACAATGCATAAAGATACTGATGTGTGCTATTTTTTATACAGTATATATATATATATATATATTATATATATATATATATATATATATATATATATATATATATATATATATATGTATAAAAAATATATATATATATATTGTGCCATCTCAGTTTGGCTAAAATAGGGATTATATGTCTTCCTCCAGCTTCCAAGTACAAGCACATTACAGATGTTGACACTTTGAATCGCTACATCCAAGAGGAGGAGGAAAGAGAGATGAACAAGTCTCAAGGTTTGTTTTGCAAGACTTCACACATTCGTCTGTTACAAGTGATGAAAAAGGACATAGTCTGTAATTCATGTCCTTTAAGAGTCTTGGAGAGTTACAATATAATAATAGTTTTTACCTTTTGGAAGAACTTCTTTCTTTTCATAAGCAAAAATCTGCTCTATGCTGGAACACTCATTGGTAACAGTGATTATTTTTTATTGAAAAATTGCCTGCTTTAAATAATAATAATAATAATAATATATAACATTTATAGAGCGCATTTCCAAAAAAAGTAGCTCAATGCGCTTTACATTGGAATACCCATTTTTCAAAAACCTTTTTTACTACTTCCTTTCTTCTCAAGCAATATACATTAATGCACACACACACACATACACACACACACACACACACACACACACACACACACACACACACACACACAGACTATTTTCATCCAGACATAGGAAAAGAACAAATGTAATGAAAGATAACGTTAAAAGCTTATGAAGGATAGGCCTGTAGGAACAGAAAATGTTTAAGATGTCTTTTGAAGCTATCAAGTGTTCTTATTTGTCTTAGTTTCATGGGTAATCTGTTCCACATAAATGGACCAAGATATGAGAAAGATCTCTCTCCATATGATTTGTATGATTTTACAGGTGTCACAAGTAGGGTGTTATCGTTCGATGATCTTAGGTTTCTCCCTGGTTTATATATACTGATAAGTTCTTGTAGATAAAAAGGAGCAGTTTTATTTACACATTTGAAACACATGACGCAGATTTTAAATATTATTCGTTCTTTTACAGGGAGCCAATGCAGTTCTTTTAATAATGGAGTGACATGGTCTCGTTTTTTAGATCTTGTTATCAGTCTAGCGGCATTGTTTTGAATTACTTGTAAACGATTCAAATATTTGTTGTTCAGACCTGCCAGGAGTGAGTTACAATAGTCTAATCTAGATAGGATAAGAGATGTTACCAGTGTTTTTGTGGTCTCTTCGCTTAAGTACTTTCGAACTAGGCCTATCCTTCTCAGCTGAAAATAAAGGGATTTGGACAGAGATCCTACAAACGAGCCCATTGATAAGTGGTGGTCAATATATACACCGAGATTCCTGACAACTTCTTTACTAGATGTCATATGCCCATATAAATCAAAGTTGACACTTTCCAGATCTTTATTTAATCGTGGATTTTTTATAAGAATGATGTCTGTCTTTTCTTCGTTTAGTTTCAATTTGTTTACTGTCATCCACTTTTTGATTTCATAAAAACATTGTTTAGTGATGGAAATCATGTTTGGTAGATCTTGAATGGTGCCATTAACATACATTTGGGAATCATCGGCATAAAAATGATAATTCAATCCATGATTTTGTAAAATGCTTGCTAAGGGCTGTGTATATAGTGTAAAGAGCACTGGTCCAAGAACGGACCCCTGTGGAACTCCATAATCGAACCAGACCTGCTTTGAAAAGCTATTTTTAAAAAAAGTTGCACTGACTGAACTCTTTCTAGTAAATATGACTTAAACAATGAAAGCACAGTACCAGATAAGCCAAATGAGCACTCAAGTCTTGTGAGTAGAATAGCATGGTCAATTGTGTCAAAAGCTGCGGACAGATCCAAAAGAGTTAAAAGACAGATGTTTTTGCTATCAATGGAATCCAATAAATCAGACGTTACTTTTAAAAGCGCAGTTTCGGTACTATGATGAGTTTTATAGGCAGATTGGTAAATTTCCTCAAGACCATTTTTTCTCATGTGAGACAAAACTTGACTTAAAACAATCTTCTCTAGAATTTTTGAGACAAATTGCAAATTCGAAACTGGTCGATAGTTTTTAAATTCATTTTTATCAAGCCCGGGTTTTTTCAATAAAGGTTTTACAATAGCTTGTTTGAAAGTATTAGGTACTGTGCCAGTGGCAAGTAACATATTCACTATCTGAGTAATGTGAGGTAGGACAATATCAATACAGGTTTTGAATACATGAGCAGGCATTGGGTCAAGGTCGCATGTTTTTATGGTTGACCCATTAATACAATTTAAAATATCACTATTTGTAACTGGACTAAAAGAATCTAATATTTGTCCAGTAAATTCTGAAAATTCCAAATTTCCATTTGGCTCTAGGTCGAGAGAAGAGCGTATGGTATTAATTTTGTCATTGAAAAAAGTCACAAATAAACTACAAAGTTCGTCATCTGATGTTGCAGAGGGGAGAGGAGATATTGTTTCTTTTCCCAGAATAGCATTGGTAGTTTGAACGAGTTGTTTGGGTGATTTAACATCTTGTAATTCATGTAGATAGTATTTTTTCTTGTTATTTTCGATGATTGAGTTGACTTTGTCTCGGTGGTTAATAAAGATGTCTCTGTGAACTTGAAGTTTTGATTTCCTCCACCTGCGTTCTGCCTGACGTCGATGTTTCTTGGCCTCTTTGATTTCAAGTGAAAACCAAGGAGAAAAGGGTCTCGACGAAATGTTTCTTTTTACCATTGGCGCATGTTGGTCGATTGCCGCTTTGAGAGTGTCATGAAATGTGTCTGCATCTAGGGAGGATAGACTTGTCAGACTTTAGTAATTCTATTGTCTATAACAATGTGTGCTCTTTAAACTTTTTTTTTTTTTTTTTTTTTTTTTGGTAGCCTAAGTGTGTTTTACGGCGCTCGCAACTGCATAAGGTCATATGATCGCGCGGGACACTCCAAACATTTTCAGTTGGTAGGAAATTTTGAATTTGAATTTTGCACGGGTGGCAGCCGGAGCCTACTCTTTTCGATTTTAGACCCCAGGGGATCTTTAACGTGCGCAACTTGCACACGCGACCTCCAAAATTTTTCGCCTTTGTCCGAGAAGGCTAGGTGTAGATCTTTCCTACAACAAGATCAGGGGTATGGCTGAAAGACGGCAGTAAGAAGGAGCTGATGTGTAGCAGTAGAAAGGCTGCAGAAAGAGTCAGGAGCCCAGAGGAGGGGGCAAAGGAGGTGAGGGGATGGAAGCAGAAAGTGGAGACGACAGCAGATGACAGAACATTGCTAGAGAACAGGAAAGGAGGTGAAATGAGACAATTTTAGAGCAGAAAATGTTTCCGTCGCCACCCGGATTCGAACCCGGGACCTTTAAATGAGAGGCGAACACCTTAATCTCTAGGCCACGAGATCCCCCTTTTAGGACTCTGAAACAAAGTTGTGTCTTTTCTAGGTCAATGACTTTTACGTGATGATATCGACTTAACAAACTCAATTGTATCTAACCACCTCTTTCCACTTAAGTCTGAACAAATACTAGCTTTACGCATTGAGTGACTAATTTCTAAAAGCCAATTACAGACTGATACAAAGAGTTGGGAACGTACTTTAATATAATCTATTCAGATTTATTGGCTGAAGTTTATAAATGTATAAATGAGTAAGTAAAGGAAAGAGGCAGGGAGTTTTCTATGTTAAATCAAGTGGATCTAAACCTTTTTTTAAGGCAGCCGGCATTTTCACGACTTGTGGAAAAAAAATGATGCACGTTTTCATGATCTGTTGTTGGGGAAAAAAGGCTATGCGTATTTTCACATGTCGAAGAGATACTGGCTCTTACTGCAGAGGTCTAGGCATATTAGTTAAAATACAATTTCTTTTCAGTAGATCTAGATCTAGTTTCCGATTTTGGACCTCTTCTGTCACCATTCCGATTAAACTCCATCCTGAAATTCTGTACTTACCGCATCTTCATCTACGCCACAACATTAATTTTTAAAAACATAGGAAGAGATAGAGAGAGAAAGAGGGAACTTGCCTTTCTAGGTTCTCGGACGGTAGATCTAGAATCTAAACCTCGGCAGTAAGTTGTAGGCTTATTTGCGCGCTCTCGACTATTGTCCCTCTGTGCGGCTCGGTCGGGAAAATAACGTGCCAAAATAAAGATTAAAAAAAAATTTTTTTTTTAAAGTGAAATTATGCTCTGGTTTTGGCATTTGACAATCAAACGCGCAAAAAAATGGTGGAAAATTAGAGTATATAGGCTTGGTGATCATATCGTCAGGATTGATGTTCCCGAATTTGTGTAGCCTACTGTTTGGAATGCGATGACAAATTGAATACCTGCAATGGAAAAATGCCATTTTCAACCCCCGGAAAGCTTTAAAAATCTGTCATTAAAGGCCCATTCCATGTTGTGCATGTTACATCTGAGCTCTACTTTCACGTATCTTGAAGAGGAACTTTTTTACTAGTACAAGAACATAAAAAAATGCGCAGGTAGATCTAGATCTATGTCACAGTAGGCTTGGGTAGGCCTAGATCTAACTAAGTAAGGAAGACTCAAGATCTAACCTTGAATGAAAATGTTGATTTGTATGTAATTTCAACCCTCTAAATTGATATTACAAATGAAATATACCACCAAAAAAATGATAAAACCAAGACTTAGTGCAGTGTCTTTGATGTGTCTCTGCTCGTGCTGTCGTAGCTTCCATAATATTATATTAATGATTACCAATCAAGAAAGGGTTGAACTTGAAGTACTGCCACTCTGCTGGGCAGTGTTTCGACTCGTCTTTGATTGTGTTGTTCTTGGCGGTGACTGATTTCAAGGATTTTTTGCTGAAAACATAATTTGTACCACAGTACTTCAAAAATTCTTCCTCGAACTCACGATACTGTTTAAAAATTCGTCCCACTTCGAAGGGATGAGGATTTGCATCCGCCGTTCTTAGAGAGAGAGAGAAGCATGGCCAGCAGAGAGCAGAGAGTCTATGCCCTCTGGCATGACCCAGCTGTTCACTGATTGGTCCTAAGAGAAAAACAAGGGGGGGGGCTCTCGTGGCCTAGAGGTTAAGGTGTTAGCCTCTCATTCAAAGGTCCGGGGTTCGAATCCGTGTAGCGACAAAAATATTTTCTTCTCTAAAATGTTTTCCTTTCACCTCCTTTCCTGCTCTCTAGCAATGTTCTTTTGTCTGCTTTCATTTCCACTTTCTGCCCCCACCCCCTCACCTCCTTTGCCCCCTCCTCTGGGCTCCTGACTCTTTCTGCAGCCTTTTTACTGCTACTCCTTGGCTCCTCCTTACTGCTGTCTTTCTGCCACACCCCTGATCTTCTGGTAGGAAAGATCTACACCTAGCCTTCTCGGACAAGGGCGAAAAATCTCGGAGGGCTCGTGTGCAAGTTGCGCACGTTAAAGATCCTTTGGTGGTCTAAAATCGATAAGAGTAGGCTTCGGCCTCCACCTGCGCAAAATTCAAAATTTCCTACCAACTGAAAATATTAGGTGTGTCCCGCGCGCTCATATGACCTTATGCAGTTGCGAGCGCCGTAAAACACTTTACTAAAAACAAAAAACAATAAGAGAAAAACAGGTCGTGAAAACGCGCATAGATTTTTTTTCCACGACAGATCGTGAAAAGGTGCATAGATTTTTTTTCTTTGACATGTCGTGAAAATACCAGCTGCTTTTTAAAAAATTCTTTTTTTTTTTTCAAAAAAAAAAATTTTTTGTTTGTTTTGTGCTTGACAGATACAAATTTTATGCTGTTCAAGGAATAAAGTTTTTAACTTTGTCTTTCTTCTAACAGTGTCCCCTGACAACTTGAGCTCTGGCAACGTGTCATTTTGGAGCTACGGCTCAAACCCCCTGGACTTTACTCAAGTATTGAGACGCTTTGCCTACCAGCTGGCTCCTCGCACTCCGGCTTCCCTGACTTTGAGAAGTTCCAGTGACCAGGGTAATAGCCTTGGCATGGAGGAGGTGAGAGAATGGCCATGCTGCAAACTGATGTGTAGATATTTCTGAAATTCTTGAAAAAGTACACATTTGTATGTTGCGGATTTATGAGTAGGCCTCTGCATACTAGCAAAAAGTGTAACCCCTGTAATGTTGGAGTTGAGACTTGGAAATATATGTGGCACAACGTGGTGGAATAGGGCACTCGTCAACTTTTGGGCATGTGGAGTTATTGATATCACCTGAAAGATAGTTTGCTTTCAATGAAAAAAAAATCCATCTAGCTTGAATAGAAGTTGAGATATTTGCGATTGCAGAAGGTGGGGTAGCCTGGTTTCAGTGGTTAAATTAATGAGAAAATTACCGCCAAAGTTTGGCAACTTCAATAGCTTAAGAGTACTTGAAAACTGAAAATGACATATTTTGTGCCTCCCTTAAACAAGGGTTTTCAGTAAAATTCACATGGAAATGTGTTTTCCTACAAACATAGAAGGTGTTTAGCCCAAAAAAAATTGCCAAACTTGTGGAAAAATACCTTTTTCTCTGATTTCATTATTTTGACGAGCACCTGATTTAACCACAATGCCTCACATATATTCAGATGGTTATATGTAAAACAGTCGAACCTTCCATGATGGTAACCTGTCCAACGCGGCCGCCTCAACTATTTCATCAAACAGAAACCACAAAAGATCCTAAGATGGACCCGTAAATCTCTCATCGCCGGACACTTTGTCATAAATTATATATTGGGCCTTGATGCTGTGGATGAGCTGTCATACATTCACCTGTTGTTATTGTTAGTCTCTCTAATGAATGAATGGATCATATCGTGTAGGTCTCTATCATTGTTTACCCAAGTTGACTAGTCGATAGCAAAATTTCAGCTGCTGGTGAGAGAAGTGTGTCATCCGTCATAACCTAGGCTTTTTGAGATCCAAGAAAGCCTAGGTCCCTTGTTGGTCTTCAAGTTGATAAAAGAAGGCTTGAGCAGCCACTTTGGCAAAATAAAAAATTAATTCCGACCTAACTGAAAATGCTAAATGTGTCCTGCGCGCCCATATGACCTGATGCTGTTGAAAGCGCCGTATATCACTTGGCCAAAAAAAAGGAAAATAACGTCCCCTTGACCGTTACTATAATTCATAATGCCTTGGTCTAATTACCTGGTTTAGACTAAATTAGAGTTATTTTTCTTTAAACACATAGATGCAGAGTGCAGGAATACTTTTTTTCATATTGGCTGGGCCCTGTCTTGTAAGAATTTTTGTTCTCTGCACTGAATGAATAAATCAAATAAGAGATGATGTACGGTTATTGTATGCTAATCCTCAGGTGTGGGGCAAATATAATGTGACTGAAGATGATTTGTATGTGTGGACAGAAAAGCTGCGCAAGGTGAGTGGATTCCTTTACCTGTTATCTCATTTTTCTGAATTCTGAGACTCTTTCTTTGAATTTATACATGCTCATGCAGCATATGTACTGTTGACATTTTTTTCTCTGCCTATAGATCATATTTCTCAGATTGAAAGGTAAATGTTCAACCTCAAACTACTGAGTGATAAAACATAAATGGGCAGAAAAAAGTTTTAAGTGACAAGTACATTCAAGCTCAGTCACGCAAATACATACGCACACCCACACCCACAAACACACACAAGTAATGAAAGTATAGTGCTCAAATGTCATCTTAACTTGAGCTATGAAATTTTATGTAAAAAAAAAAATTATTGATAGCTGATAAAATGCTTGCAAAATTTGGGTTTAGTTTGAAAATGTTCAAGTTTTACACTGTATTTTGTAAACTTCCAGGTTATAGTTGTTTTGTTTTGTTATGTTTTTTTGGTTTTTTTCTCCATTTCATGTCTTTGGGTGAACCATTTTCTGTACTTTTGTTTTAATCTATGTTTGCTGTTCTGTTTTCAGTGGCTGAGTTTCACCATCGTATCCAGACTAAATGAGGAAATTGAGGAAATCAACTCTAAACTACAGAAAGTCAACACTGAGGACAGGATAGGAAGTATGTATAAAATATTTTTCGACCTGTTTTTAATTACTTTTTTTTTTTACAAATAAGATTACTCAGGTATCTCGCAGGCTGATTTTTTAAATTTGTCTCCGGAGTCTCATCTTTTTAGCTCTAGATGTTTCCATAGGATGTTATTTTTTCTATGCTTGTTGGTAAATGGTGTTGTGATGTGATGTATTTCAGAAGCGGGCGTGTCTGCTCTCAAGCAAATTGCCATGACCAAACTACGAAGCTACATCCCCACCTTGAACTCTATCTTCCCTTACCTGGAGTTCACTGCCAATCAGGAGTATCTGTACAAGAGACTTAGAGGTGAGAAGATAAGTTTTGGTAAGTTTTGAAGTGGGCTGGTCAGTACACTTTTTCAAAATGTCCATTCTGTTGGCTGCGAAACGTGGCATTTACTTCACAAGTTAGTAATGTCTGGTTTCATTTTGAAGATTTTCTGTGCTTTTTCTGTCGGCTGTTACGGAGTCCAACGAAGATAAAAATTTCCACTAAGATAGCTTTCTCTGAAGTGAGCCATCCCCAACTGTTTTCTGTGGCCAAGTCTAGCTTACTGACATCATGAGTAGGCTTTTGGATGTGGGGACTGGGAATTTGCATAGGAGAAAAGAAATACTCTGAGATGCCTGACTTAGGAAGGAGTTTTTATTTTTGGGTTAGTGGTTTTAAAGAATTTGTTCAGCACAAGATGTGTGTTGAAATGAATTTAGAAAATGAATTGTTTTTTTGGTTTTTTTTCCTTTCTTGGAGCTTGAGGTTTCGTTGAATCAGATTTTATTGAAAGTGATGTTCTCTGCTCTCTGTTTTTGTAAACTTTTTAACACATTACACCCTAACTCACCCGGAACCGCCCGCGCCGACCTAGCGTCTTTAGAAACAAAGTCTCGCCTTGACGAGATTCTGGGGATGAGATTTTGATTTGCATAGTTATTGCAAAAAGTTTCTTCTTTCGTTTGATACCAAAACGAAATTTTTCGGACCAGTAGTTTTAGTATTAGAGCCAATAAAAGTGCGATCGCGTTACTGACACTTCATAGGTGCCTCGACTTGTTGAAAAGCAACATAATTGAGTTCGAAAAAGGAAATAACGCTGGATTTGAGCAAAAACAAGCATATGACAAATCAGATGACTCAGACTTTGATGAAAACGTTGTAGCAAGAGTTTGGGGCAATTCAGATTGATCAGCTGTAGAAATCTAGAATTTAGATCTTTGGCCCGACCGCGAGGCTGAGAGTGAGAGTGACGGGTCGGACACCAAGACTGAGCTAAAGTTAGAACATTTCCAACAGTTTGCGCATACATAAAGTTATATTTTTCTGAAACTACATTCATTTTTTGTTTTAACTTTCATTTTTTCGGGATTTTTGGAATTCGTTTAGTATTTTTAAAATGTGGGTTTTTTTTAAGGCTAGTATTCACGGGAGGTGGGTTCCTTCCCCTTGCTTAGGATCTAACAAAGGACTTCCCGTTCAGACCCTTAGGCTGTAATGTGTTAAAAGTACTATATGGCAAATATTGCATTAAGAGTTTTTCTTTATGAGTCACGTAAGTAAACGAACTGGGATATCACAACAGTAATATGATTTGAGCTCATCGTTTTTTGTTTTGTCTTTCAGATCTAAGCACAGGGAGTATGAGTGCCTATACTTGGAGCAAAGGGGGAAGCTATGGCAAGCCATGGAGTGAACATTTGCCCACAGATGCAGCGGTAAGTTCCTGCCTTTGTTTGCAAACTTACGAGGGTTGTTTATGGGGCCCAGTTATTTTTTTTCCATGTCTGTGTTTATTGTACAATGGGGCTTATCATCCTTGTTTCCACAACAAATTATACAAGTTTCTATTCTCTACAGTACAATCAACTGGATTTATTTTTGTTAATAGTACTGCTGTAGTATAATTTATTTTTGACGATGTACTTGAATCATTTTATATTTTATCAGCATGGGTCTCAATAGTCCGCTATTTTTTTGCGAATTTCCGCTACCGCCATTTCCTCCGCTAAACTCCGCTACCGCGACAGCGGGCCAATCAGAAAGAGACTTGTTGGGAACAGGGTGACTACCAGGCCCCGGGAATTTTAAAAAAATGGCCGAGACCCGGGAAAATACATAAAAGATCTCAAATATTGTGTCACCAAGGCTCGACTGGAAAGTCAAGATCTACATTAGCTTTCGTTACCCCCCCAGAAATTTGTCAGTAATTGTCTGATAATGCAACATTTATTGTAACATGCAGTATGCAGGTTCGGCATTACAAACGTGGTGTTGCCTTGAAAATAAATCAATATCTGTCACTTGTGGGGGCAACAACAACAAAAAAGAAAAGAAAGTTATACAAGCGTCTTGTCGGGCTCGCCCTTGTGACCAGTCAATGAACCTGCGCGCGTTCAGAGCGCTGTGAAGTACAGGACTCAGGAATGGGGGGAGATTATTGATTTTTTTTTTAAAAGATGCACTCGGGGATAGGGGGAGGGCTGGACGCAACATCAGAAAAAATTAAACTGGAAGCAAGTGTTTAATGTTTAGAATTTTGATCACTACTACAGCTCTCTGCAAAGTAAAGTGTGCGTAGGTGCAGGCCTTGTGTGAAATCGGGAACCGTCATAACTTGTAAGCGTCTTATGGAACTTAGGGCCTAAGTGTTCGCGTTTCATTGGATTGGTGACAGTAAATTAGACCTCTATATTTTAGCTTTCTGTTCAAGATTCGCAGATTTTCAGTATCACTGCATTTTGCCTTCCCACAATTCTTACACCTCTCACATTGAATAGGTCTACTTGGGCTTTTCTACTCTACTTTGAGTTTGAGCATTAATTTTTGTCTTTCAGGTTTATTATATAGGCCTGTATATATGATATGAATCATGACAGTCTATGTTCTGGTTCTAAGCTCAAAACAAGATTCCTTTTTATATAGTTTTATATACAAGTGAATATGATGAAGGGAAAATATAAATTAGTCGCACAAGACCCCAGGCGCCACCACTTTCTGTACGTAATCAAGATTGTAAACATTTGGTACGTGACTTTTACTTGAAATTTTCTCCCAAACCCTCAAATTGGTGTGAAATAACCTTGCTTTGATAAATTGATGGTTTTTATTTCAGCATTCTAGGGTTCAACAGTATAATAATAATGGGTGTTTCGCGAAAATGGGCTTCTGTGGCGATCACCCAGAAAGTTCCTCCTTTTTTAGAATTCTGAGTTGAGACCCATGATCAGGTCAGTTTAGCTCAAAGGGAAGAAATTATTTTGGCAAGGAAGTGCTAACAGACTGATATTGATAAGTTCCATTTATATTGATAAGTTCTGTGTGTTTCCGGGTATTTCACCTTGAAATAGTGTGTGGGAGGAATACTTGTCACTGAAAAAGCATTTATGATTACTAATCAAAAGTTTGCGATGGTGTGATAAGTGCTGAAGATAGAAAATGTCCATCTGGTTTCTTTCTTTTTCTTTAAATGGAGGTATTGTGGAAAACTATTTATGTAATGAATGCCATTGTTTCCTTTGTGTCCTGAGGGTGTACTGACATGAGTGTGATGTTTATGAGAGAGAGAGAGAGAGAATTATATCACTTACTGTGGTTGCTCTGTGTTGAGTTTGACCATGTAAAATCAGGGAGGGAATTGGGAAAGGGGGGTGGGGGTCTACTTATGGTTTCAATATAGTAATAGTAAATTTAGCTGTTTGTTATATTTATTTGTAGATCAGTAAAAATGTGCATCCTTTTTTCTATTTGTCCTCAGCTGGTCATGCACATGTTCTGCTGCTATCTAGATGCCAGACTGCCAGTCCAGCCAAAGCATTCTGATGGAAAACCTTTTACATCCCAGCATTTTATCAAAACCCCAGATAAACCAAGTATGTTAATTCACTAACAGACTGACAAGATTTTTTGCTGCCTTTAACCAGGTACCCTTTCCCTCTTGGTTGAAGTGAGGAAAATTGTATTAGTGTCTTTCCCCAGGACACAATGTGGGCCCCCAGTTGGAATTTGAACCCATGACCTAATGTTTGCAAGTCAAATAATGTAGCCAGACCTGCCATTCATCCCGATTTTTATCGGGATGTCCCAATTCCCCCCCCCCCCCCCCTGAATCTCAAGCATCCCGATTGTGTCTGACAATGATGTTATAACAGCAGAGTTTAATGGGTCTCACATTTGATATCAAATCACAGCAGTGCTGCTCATCAGATAATATTGATGCTTTATTCTGATCAATGTTTTCTGTTTCAGAGATAGCAAAGCGTTTTTTTGTTGTTGTTAAAGGTTAGTTTTATTGTCTTTGTAGTGGCATGATTTTTTAAAGTGGGGTATCATTGGACATCCTGTATTTACTTACTGTATTGCTTCTGACTGTCGCTCTTGCTATTTTACTCTTGTCGCTAATTTTTTATAGTGAATATTTTTTTGGTTTATGGTTTGGATATAGTAAACAGCTATTTTTGTTTTTCAGTCACACTTTTAGTAAGCCTGTGTAGGTGAATGGGTTTAAAGCCCTTATCAACACTGTTAGGTTAGTTAAGAGGGCGGGATCATCTGTTCAGATATGACCTGGCCAAATGGGCTGAAAGCCTTGAAAACTCCATAAAACGGCGGGACTTCAAGAACCACCCACTCTGATTGGAACCAGAGCCATGGTCCATCTTGATACCAACTAAGCTAATTATGGATCGCTCGCACACACTTTTTGATGTGATAGATCACTAAAGGTACTGGTGGCCAGTTGACATTCTTGCAAAGGATGATCCTTTTATTTTTCTAAGTTATGTTTTATGAAGCTCCCCTCGTTGATTTTTCCATTTTGTTCACTTTTGCATTATCAGTTTTGTTTCTTCAGACTTTTCTCTTATTACTACTGTATGAGTAGTTGGTGAGCGCTCTGGCATGGTTTGTTCATTTTTTCTTATCAAACATCTATCATAATCTATCCCCGTTCTTTCCTTTGAGTGTTTTTTTGTACTGTAACATCTTTAATTTTCGGCTGTTGTGTGGCCTTTCTGTGTTACAAATGCCATAAAACTCTTACTAAAACTAAAACTATACTTTCACAATTGTAGCCACTCAAGTCCTCTTGCTGACTTGCTTTACCATAGCCTCATCCGATGAGCTGGCTCTACTTCCTCTGTGTGTCAAACAGGATTGATGATTTGTGAAAACAGTATGTGGAAAGCATTACTTGCACTAAATTGTTTGTCGTGGATAAAAAAAAGATACCTTTGTTGTGTTTATTCTTACTCTAATCATTCTGATGGTTGTCCCCAGACGCTGACAAGAAAGAGACCCTTCAGATCTACCAAAGCAGTATAAACCCTCCACATTTTCAGGTGGTCATTGGATCAGAGACTCACAATTTGTGCAAGGTATTGTAAACGTTTAAGTGTTTTTTGGTTGCTTTTTTAACTCACTGACTACTGGCCATATGTTGAGACATAGTTTTCATCTGGCAATTCTTGGTGCCTTTTTACAAATTACTACAGTCAATACTCTCGGACTGGTTCTTTGTGTAATTTAGCGTAATGAGGTGACTGATGTAAGTGAATTGCAGTCAATCTCACTTGATCTGCTAAGAGGGCTCCATTTGAGAGTTGAATGGATCTCTTCAAAGCTTTTTGTTCGTACAGCAGTATTGTTCCCTAAATTATCATAGGCAGGAATGTTAAGAATTGTTATGTGTTGCTTTTTGGGGGGGAGGGGGGGGGGATCAACAAAGATTAAGTAATTTTGTAATTTGAAGAAAAAGAGTTAATTAGAAATTGTGAGACTTTGTTTGCTTTTGTCCAAATGCACTTCGAGTGAAGACTTTGAAATGTGGTTTGTGGTGGTTGGCGAGTGCTCTGGCGTGGTTTGATTCTTCTTTCCTGTCAAACATCTATCGTCTTTATCTCCCCTCCTTCTTTTTTGTGTTTGTTACTCTCTTGTGACACCTCTAATCTTCGGCACTTATATGATTTTATTGTGTTGCAAGTGCCGTAAAACTCTTACTAAAGCAAAAACGAAAGGTGCTTTGTTCTTCCTAAATGTTGTTCTTATGCCCAAGCAATATCTGGACAGGATATTCTATAAATAAAGCTGATTTTACTCTTGTTGTCACCCACAGGGAAGGAACAACATGTTTCAAGCCATCCTACTGTTGTTGTACCACATCAGGGTGAAAGAAAGTGGTATGCTGGGGTAAGTTTCTCTTTCTCAACAGCATTCTGTGTGGTGAAAAGTTTCCAATTGAAGAAAAAAAACAACCTAAGTACTGTTCATATTATTGATCTGTACACAAATAGAGGTAAATCAGATTCGTTCTATGTTTCTTGATGGTAGAAAGTAAACATTTGATTTATTTGTTTTCAAAGATACTTTAATGAAACCTTTATTATTTATTGTATTTTATTTCATGTAACTTTTCATGACCTTTGAATTGATAGATTTTGTGGTGAAAATGGAAGTACATACAGCTCTGTGTCAATTTTTTTCAAAGACAAGTGATAAAGCAATGATTAGTAGCCGTGGACCAAGAATCATGTGAACTGAAAAAACAATGAACACTAGTTCAGTATAATCGACTTATGTCAACCACGGCGTCACTTTTCGCCCGATTCTGTTACCTTTAGTTAGCGTGACTCAGCAGCCCGCCGAGCTCCCCGGCTTGGGGTCACGGGGTTAATAAGCCTTGAAGCGACTTTGCCGGTGTCGGTTAGGAAGTTCGCATTTTTGACTATGTTTAAAACGATATAACTTCTTCCCCATCCCACACAGCTAACCATTACGCGGATGTACTAAAAGTTCAATGTCTTGAGATTTATTCTGCGTTAGAATGGTTAATTTCTGTGCCTTAGTTTTTGTTTTAGACAAGTGTTTGTCCTATTTTAGTTTCAAACTTATGAATAAGTGATTGTTATTTTTAAAAAGGCGCGACAGATCTCTCCAAAATCTGTGTTAAACTGACTACGAATACAGTAGTCTCCGCCTAAGATCCCGGTGCTTGGGAGCAAGGAAATGCGGGATCTTAGGCGAACCGGGATCTTAACCGACGAACCTAGGAAAGAATCTATGGTGACCCATGTTAAGGCTCACAATCGGTAAAATGGTCTCCCTCCACTCTAAAATTAACTGACGTGACCCCTTGGTGGGTTTATGGCATATGGCGAGCAAAGAGTGGTTAACCTTGATGACCTATCACGGTGCATAGTGGCATGAGGCGTGCCAGTTTCACTTATTATCCTATCATGAATCTCAGGATCTACGATTATCCAGTTGCCCCTCCTCTTTACCTGTCCAAAATTTATAGCTTTTCATCTCTGACCGAGCCCCCCCCCTCCAAACCGCCTTTGTCCTTACACACCATTACGTTGTGAATGCACCAATTAAAATTCAGTCTGTCCCGCAAATTCGGGAGTAGAGACAACTGCTGCAATGGTCAAGGAAGAGTTCACGGTTCGATGTGATCCCGCTTGGAGCGAACGTGTTGGCCCTACCCACCCAGCGAGTGATGCAAGTTTAAGTGGCGAGCTCAGGTGTGAGTGCGATGCGTGGGGAAAACAAACGCGTTGGTCAGTTCACACTCCGGTGTGATCCCGTCTGGGGCAAACATTCTATTGCTTCATCGAGTTTTACAACGTGTATGTGATCACATTCACTATAGTGGCTGATCTTTGACGCGACGAACAGTTTATTGATCTCAACTTTTCACTCTTGATTGATCGGCTGTGCCCGCCCGGGTTTTTGTTTAGCAAATTGTGATCTGAAATGCGGGATCTTAGCGGAATGTAGACCTTCAGAGTGAATCAGAGCGGGATCTTATGGGTGACTTTTGTATAGTAATAATTCTGTTTTCCTAAAACAACGGGATCTTAAGCGAACCGGGATCGTAAGCGGTGGGATCTTAAGCGGAGACTACTGTATCATGTCTTTTACCATGAGAAATCTTAAATCTGCGCGAGTAGTAATAGTCAAGTTATGAGAAAAGAAAGATGCACATCTGCATTTTTTAACTAAAGACGATCAGCGTTAGCTCTTATTTTACTATTAAACAAGAGAAAGTTGCTCTGCGTTTGTTCATGAATCATGCTGTGTCTGTGGCAGCCTGCATACAACTAAAAGATATAATATAAGCGATTTAAAAAACCCACAAAACCGTGTAAATACATGGGTAGAGATAAACTTCTTGTATGGAATAAAAATAATAACAGCTAACACATTCATTCTTAGTTTTTGTGTCGGAAATATGCGCGGACACAATTATGAATGTAAAGAAATCAGTCACATTGTCAGTTATTGCAAATGGTCATAGAAACGAAAAATAAAGCTGGAAAAGTCGGGTGCTGATTCAGTGTCCCTGGAAAGTTAAAAATTATTCTTGTAACCCAATTACGAGAAGTCATCCCTATTATTCAGTCAACTTACAAAACCTAGACTTATCGTTTTAAGAAAAGTAAGGAATTTCTGGAGTGTAACAGATACTGTTCGTGTATTACTTTGAAGATGTATTCTGGCATTAAAATCGATTTGTACTTTCAATAGAGAAACTTCATGGTAACTTTTATACACTTTTTAGAAAATATGCGAATATTCACGATTATATTAGACACATAAAGTTGTATTTGGAGGAATTACTTCATGGCGAATTGTGTGCCGGATGGATAAAGTTGCAAAATTACAGCTTTCTATTATATGCGCAGATACCATCTTTTCTGAGTATTTGCACCAATGCCATGTCGTTCATGTTCCAAAAGTTCGACAGTTTTTGTCAAGGCCTTTTTTTTGTATTGATTTTTTTTTCATTCACGCTAGTCTAAAAAAAATTACAATTTAGCATTGCCGACTCCAGCGCGTCTAACAAAATAACCAGACGAGTTACAATGTCCGTTCTTTTTTAAGTCTCAAGAGCAGAAATGCATGCTTTGAGTGCATTAAATGAGAATTACCATTTATACAAGGATACACCTAAAATTGTATGTTGAAAAGTACCGAAAATTAAGTCGGCCCAGACAGAGCGGCGACAGGGAGCTGACCCCCGTGACCCCGACGTGATAAGGCGCCCGGCAGGGAACACCCGCGGCAACTAAAATTCCACTGCCGGTGGGTCGTGCGAAATGCTTTTAGAAGTAGATTTGATGTCGATATATAAAAATGTTGATAAATGAAAATACAAAGCCAAAGAGGAAAAAAACAAAGGGAGGTCAAGGGTAAAAAGACAACACTATTTTTAAGCTGGTTGCTTCCCTTGATTCTAAAACTACTACACAGTGAAGCTAAAAAAGGGGGGGGGGGGGGGGGGCTTGGAGTTACAGTACCAAAGACCGAGCAACGCAAGGCACACACTAAACACCAGCGCAAACTTTGTTGTAGCATCCTTGTAAGGCCTGTTTATGGCCGCTTGCAGGGGAAAAAATGGAAAGGCGAGGCACTGACTCACTGACCGTGGCACTTCACAGTGATAGACTGAGAATGGGATGGGGAAGGGGAGTGAGCGATCGGGAGTGGGGGTAGGGAGGTGATGTTCAGCGCCCAAGACACTCATGTCTGTGAGGCACTGTACTGTGTTGGAGATGACACTGTAGGCCCTACATGACCTACTAATGCCTGGTGTGTCGAATAGGCTACTTGGCTGGTATGCGGACTTAATCTGTCCCCGTGGTTTTATGCACCCCACATAATTTAGCAAAATTTGATCATTTTTTGCATGATTTCTGATTATTTTCCTTATCATTTTTTGTTAAAATTAACAGAATGGCATAATTTCTCATTTTTGGTTGTTTGCATAATTTCATTATTTTTTTGTGCATAAAATGACGGGGACAGCTTGATGAAAAACTAATGCATTGACTTTTAGCGTGGCTTTTTCCCCCATTTATGTTCGTAGGCTTCGCCAGGTACACAGGAAGCCTGTCAATAAAGCAGAGTGGGCCGAAAAAAAGAGTCGATATAAGAGAAATTTTGTGGTGAATATATTGAAGGAAGAATTTCATAATTGGAAAATATGTCGATATGTCAAAATGTCGATACATCGGCTGTCGATATAATACTGTACTTGAGTAAATGTGTATGTTGATAAAGCATTTTAAAGTTCTGGTATGGTTAGCATTAAAAACCCAGGAAATGAATCTTGCACTATCCTGGTTGTATTGTCCATGGGCTCTGTCAAAGGAAGAAACTGCTCATATAATAAGCAAGCACTTTCTGTCCCTGTATACTCACACCGTGACACTTTCAGAACAGATATTCCTGTCGTTACCGATTTTAAAAATGCTCCCGGTGTCTACGCCTTTTTTTATAATGAATACTCAGTATCAACGAACTTTGAGGTTGGGCCCAACTACTTTGTTATAACCTGCATTGCGAAACCATTTTCTCTTTTTTCTCGTTTCAGGCGAATTAATCTTGGAATGTCTGGCCTCAACATGTTGTGGATATTTGACTGAATTCCTGAACTGTTCTGAGGGTATTTTAATTTTGCTGTCCCACATCAATTGGGTGTATTTTAGCTTTTCATTTGTAAATAAAGCCATCTTTGTAACATCTGTCATTTGTTTTTATGCAATTGTAATAAAAAAAATAATTAAGCCATCATTGTATTGTCAGTCTTTTTCTTTTTTTTTTTTTTTTCGTTTTGCTTGTTTGTACTATCAGTCCGTTGGTCATGAAAAACTGTTCTGATATCTTGGGTGACTCTTGGAATGGAATATGCTCCTTTATGGTTTGAAAAGACACCACACAAACTTTCAGATCTATAGCTTTGAGAAAATTGCCTTCATAGCAGTCATTCTGTGGCTGACTGACTTGCAAATTAAAGGAACAGCAGGACCGAGGTTTTTTAAAGATACATGCATTTGAAGTTTGTTTGAAGAATCAAAACCTTTGTTTTCTTCTATTATCTTGAGGAATTGGCCTATTGACTATGTAGTTGACTCAACTTGTGTTTAGTTGATCTTCGTTTAAGTTGATCTTTCTCTCGGGTCCCAGCACCACTTCTTCTTTACAGGTCCCATCTGTTAAGTTGAACTTTTGATGAGTTGATCTTTTTTCACTCCCCCGACAACATCAACTCACCTGTAGTCGACTGTATAATCCCTGAAGTGACCGAGCGATTAAAATTTACCTGACTGATTCTCGTTTAAATTAACAAAAACATGTAGGAGCCCGGGGTTCCCTATCTACCTTTATTGTATCAACAGATTAATCCGTTTCCTTTTTTTTTTTCTTTTTTTTTTTGCTACTCCTCTTCCCCATGCATGTGTGACCTGTAAATGACATTTCTTGTTTTTGTGTTCTTTTTCTTATCCTCCCTCTCTGTTTCGCCTTCCCTTTTAGGCCATTTTTCCTTTCCCTTCTTCCATGTGTTTTTTTGTTCATATGTGTATGTTTTTTGTGAACCCAAATATTCTGTTGTAGTTTTTAATATCTTTTTTTTTTTGCATTCAATGCTTCTAAACAGATAGCCGAAGTGGATGGTTGGTGCATGCTCTTGGGTGGTTTTCTCCATCTTTCCCATCAAACAACTACAGTCCACGCCGGCTTTAAGCACGGTCATCGGGAGAAAGCATAAACGTGCTTAAATCCGAAGCGTGCTTGAGTGCGAAGTAGACATAATCCAGAGATTTTCATGTAGAAAATTTCCCGTGCTATTTCCCTTTGTTTGTAAGTAGGCCTATAGCGTTCCCGCAAAAGTGTGCACTGTTATTTTTACCCGCCATAGTAATTTTTGTTTGCTTGGTTGTTATTGTTTTGTGGTCAAATGGGAAATGAAAACTTAATTTTGACGGCCAGTCACGATACAGCACACTAGTAGGTCTACACGCTGCCTGTGCGTACCACTGCCCGCTGTGCCACATACATACCACCGTCTTCATTCCACCTCGCGCGTGATACACAATCAGGATTATTGGAAAATGAGGGTCAAAGGTGAAATCGCAGCCAGCCTCCCTTTCTCGTCTCCCTGACTCTCTTTATATTTTTTAGTCAGTGTGTAACTTTGCCCTAGGCTAGATCCTATGTCCACGCGCGCGGCAGTGTTCATCTCTCTGCCTTCCTCTCCGCCCGTGTGAGTGTGTGTCTCTATCACTTGCGTTCTCTGTGTTTCTCTTAACACACTCCACTGCTGCGGTGTAGACTGTGTTCGATCTTCGATGGGTCATCATAAAAGTATTTACTGTCTTGTAATGAAGCGTGCTTAAAGCCGAAGTTACCGTGCTTAAAGGCGTGTAATTTATATAGCAAAAATTCGGTAAGAGCCGTTTAGCGTGCTTTTGTCCAAAACGTGCTTTAAGCTGGCGTGCTTATAGCCGGCACGGACTGTATCACTATCGTCCTTATATCTCCTCCTTTTTTAAATACTGTTTTGTTACTCTCTTGTACATGTAAAACTGTTAAACCTTGGCACTTTAAAAGGTAAATGACATTCTTGTGTTGCAAGTGCTGTAAAAAAACCCAAAAAACTCTTACTACAACAAACAAAAAACAGAAAGCCCAACTGGAACAGGAAACCTTTGAAAAGTTCAAGAACATTTCTTTCATACAGTGGAGCCAAACGGTTCAGGAGGGGAGAGGGGAATTTAGAAAAGGATAAAGGCATGGGAGAATGGTGTGTAGTTGTTGACTTAGTTATCAAAGTATTCTTTTAACTTTTAACCTTTTCTTTTTGCTTTTTCTCTCTCCCTTCTTCCTCTTTTAATTTTCATACTACTACTACTACTACTACTACACATGTATAACTACAGTCGAACCTCGATATACCGCCCCTGTTATATAGGTCCAGCCCTTTTTACCGCCAGGTTTTGCCAATGTATGAAAAGGAACTACAGTCGAATTTGTGTAAGACAGCCATCCATTGTCAAGGACAAAAGTGGCTGTATAAGACAGGTGGCCGTCTTAGGCAGGACTGATCAAAATGAAGAAAAAAAATCATTCCTTTCTGAGGTCCCAACCGAAAGTATTGTTGTTTTAGTTGTTGTTGTTTTCGCGGGGATTTTTTTTCTTTTGTTGCCGCGTTTTGTGCAAAGGTGACAATAAAAAGAAATGTGTCGTCAGACAAGGAGGACCGAGTGTATGGTAAAACAAACACATGGGTCGCCACCACTCGCAGAACGAGCGACGCTTGTGTCACAAGTTCATGTTGACGTCCATTGTTACTTTGTTACAGACTGGGTAAACAGTGACCACTCATCTCACTTACGATTTGTGTATGAGTTCTGGGCTGGGCAAATGGGTCATGAGGGATCACACGCTTCCCTCACCAGCAGCTGAAAATGTGTTACTTATTGGTCAACAGTGGGAGGGGCTTACGCAACATGGTCGGTTGGAGGGACTACCAAACAACAATCATGTGATAGGATTATGACGGCTGGCCCACAACGCCAGGGGCCAATGCACAATTTATGACAAAACGTAATGGAGTCACTAAGGTGGCCGTCTAAGACAGGTGTTATTGCTTGGTGTGATAGGGGTTGTGTGTTAAAATATGGTGGCCGCAGCCGCGTTGGACAGGTGCCCGTTTTACACAATTACATTATAGAGAAAAAACGCAAGGGGGGAAATGGAAAGTGGCCGTTTGTCCGGGTGGCCGTTTTATAGAGGTGGCCGTCAGGGCAGGTTTGACTGTATTTATATACAAACATAGTATTTATGCCTTTACACACCTTTGTGAATTTGCTCCGCTATACCGCCAGCGAACTAGTCACTAGAGGTACACAATACACACGACACCCACTCGGTGGCTTCTTGGTATTTTATAACATGTATTGAATAGTTCATAACTCTCCTTTTTTGTGGCTGCTCCCTTATAACAGTAACACATCTATTCTTCGGCACTTATATAACCTCATTGTGTTGAAAGTGTCGTAAAACAAAACAAGACAACTCAGCCTGTCTGCAAATCTGTCATCGTCAGATATCAGTATCAGTTCGATAACCAAAAGGCTGGGCGGAGGAGTACTGTGCGACGAGAATTGGGCCATAAAAAAAGAACTGTACGTCTGCAGCTTCAAATCCGGCAGAAATGTTCAGTCTGAATTTACGTTAAGTTCAGCTGGAGCTGTACATTCAATGCAATTTGGTTGTTACTTGTTTTCCCCCGTGCATGGCAACCGGAAAACTTACCACAGTTTGTCTCAAGACTCTAAATATCAGTCTACCACTTGTCAGGACGTCAACCAACGTTATCTCGTTATACCACCAGCCTTCCTGTACCGCCAACTCCATTCTCGTCTCAAGGCAGGCGGTATAATGGGGTTTGACTGTCCGTATAGAGTGGAACTCGGATTCAATGAGGTCGCCGGGCCTGACCTAAAATCTCGTTGAATCCGAGTGTTCGTTATAGCAAACACGAGGTTTTGTGTAGATAATTACAGGCACTGAGCAAGTATTGTACAAAGAGAAGTCACAAGTAGTGCCTGAAATGCCTTCATATTATGAGCTGTGTAAAAAAAAAAGACCCGATTCGTACAAATGCACATACCTGTGTCATCTCGATTGTTTACCAAAAAGTTGTGTTGCTAGCATAACGGCAACCTTTGATTTCATAGACCAGCGCAAAATTGATTACGTAGATCTACGTCAGGACTAGATCTAGCTTGTCATTGTAATAATGATCAGTTGCCGAGGGGGAAAAAAGACTGTGACGCGTTTGTATCTGTGACTGCGACGTTCAACGCCCGGACCGCTGGTGCCCCCCCCCCCCCCCCCCCCACCTCCCCCGCACCCGACCGCAGGACTGCCCATCATTTTACGAATTTGGTGGATTACGAAAATACGATCATAATACCGCTGATTCCGTTGTTGTTGTTTTTTTTTCTTTAAAATTTTGGCTACCCCAACCCACTGCCCTCCTTACCGGTGTAAAAAAAAAAGTGAAGAAATACTACCCTGAGCCGGACGGGCAGAACGTCACAACATCACATGCAGATCTAATTTTAACTTAAACACACTCTTAAACTAATGAACAGGCAAAGCCATTTAACAAATTCTGAAGCCAGATGACTAAATTTATATAATTTGTTGATTACTAAAGCATAATATCATATATGTACACGTATTATCATATATTATGCTGGTGGGTGCGGGCAGCACTGCCACTTGTTATGATTGTGCAGATTCGACCCCTTGCCTTTTGGAGCCAACCCAGCTTGTTATATAAAATAGGATACCTTCTTAGTCTTAGTTGAATGAATACCAACAGGGTATGAGGTTAGATCCCAGTTTGACTGAAAGAACCATAAGAACCAAAAGATCCAGTGACATGATAAAGAATGTAATAAAAACCAAGCTAAATAGTGAGATGAAGGTTTTAAAAAAGAATATAGGCCTACATGAAAAGTGAATACATTTAATTAATATATTCAGCTGTCTCAAGTTTTGAAAGAGGTGTCTCTTATGCTGTGAATTTGATTGTATTCAGTCAATAGATATTAGATATATGCACACGTAAGATTAAGTGAACGTTTAGTTTCCATCAGAGGCTCGCACGAATCCACCGGGGTGGGAGGCAGGGGTTGGGGAGTAAAGAAAAAGGGAGCCAAAGAAAAATAAAAAGAACTGCTTTGTACTTGTACATGACATGCAAAACTGATGATGCATGAACAAGTCGTTGATGGACACGCGGAGAAGGAGGAAAAAAAGGGGGGGGGGGGGGGGTAGAGACAGATAGACAGATTGAGAGAAAGAAAAAAAAAGAAAGAAAGGGGGAGAGACAGAGAGAGGGGGGCAGAGATAGACACACAATTACACACACAGAGAAAGAAAGAGAGGACAAGAAACAAAGGTACATAGAGAGAGAGGCAAATTTTATACAGAGGGGTAGAGAGACAGAGAGAGAGAGACACCCCAGAGGGAGGGAGAGAGAGGCACCAGAGGGAGGGAGAGGGAGAGAGAGAGGGGGAGGGAGAGAGAGAGAGGGAGAGAGAGAGAGAGAGGGAGAGGGAGAGAGAGAGAGGGAGAGAGAGAGCGTTGTCTCTTGACAAAAACCTGATGTTATGAACATAGCATGTTAAAAGGGCGAAGGCTGTCAATTTTGTCAAAGACGAACACATCACTGTAAGCTTCTTGGGTACGACAAAACTTTGTTCTAGACTCTATAAGCAGAGTTTTTTCCCCCTTGAATTTAGAGTAACAGTGTGAAGAAAAAAAGCAACACGTGTTAAGTTTTTATCAATGCTAGATTTTTAGTTGAATATGAAATTATAGCCTACAGTTTAAGTAATTAATTCATAAAGGGCGAAAATGTGAAAGGTGAAGATAACGTTATTTTGATCTTTTGCACGGTAGAATTCTGTGGTGGTCATTTGACATGAAATATAACTTTACAAGAACAAGAGCGTACTATTAATCGAGTCCGTGGTAGTTGAAGTATTCGAAGTTTTAATACTTTAGATAAGAAAAGTATCAGCTTCAAAAACATCAAATTTGTAATAGAAGTATCATCTATTATCTATATTATCATATATTATGACTTCAATCAGGTTAAAGTAGTTTTTTAACTTCTTCACACGGATTTTCTTACGTTAAGTCTATAGTCGATACTTTGTTCCATGTTTTATAATTTTTGACGACATCATAAACAGGAAGTGTCAACTTTCGTTCGTCTATCGACACACTCTCTCCAACTCGTGGGTCTCTCTGATTTCACTGCGTTCCTTTGTGGTGTGTGTGCTAGATCAAATAAGTTTTATTGAAAGATTGAGGTTCGAGAGCAACGTAAAGTATGCCTTTCTTTGTGAATCCAAAGACAAAGAAAAGAAAATTTCAAGCAAAGGTTTGTATAACCAGGTCTCACATTTTGATTTAGACTTCAGGCTGACAGGCAATGACTGTGTACTGTTCAACATATAACATAATAATTAATAGTAATAGAATCTAGATTCTAGATCTAGTGTTGACTGAATTAAATGACAAAATAAATCTAGACTCTAGAAGTATATATCAAACGCATATATCAAAAGTCAAAAGGAAGAGGCTAGCCGTACTTAACTCTTATCCTGCGTCTGTGCCCAGATGCGTATCTTATCAGCAACCGATTATTATTAGGCCTAGATCTCTATATCGGACGTGCCGGACAGGCCGCCGGGATCACTCAGTGTGTACAGTACTGTTGGTTAACAGCGCGCGCGTCGGGAAACGTGTGTTTTCGCCATACCGTGGGAGTGTGTTAACCGATGATGAAAATAATGCTTTATCCTTCATCATAGCTTTCTATTTTATAAAGTGTTACAAACACATGAATAACCACCTCTCACAAGCTGATAAGACTAAGACATTACGAGTAGTTACGCCCATTTGAATAACCTTTCTGGACGCTCTTGTACTTGTATGAATGACCTGAGGTTCGAAAGGGGATAATTTAGGTCAATTTACGAATGTTATACACTCAAATTGTTCTTTGTACCTGCACAATGGTATTCAAAACTATCAAACAAGCTTATTTTTTGTCAGGTAGTATCATTTCATACAAAATCAAGCTCATTTGACATTTGAAATATCTTGTATAGAAAAATGGAAGTCTTGTTTCCTGACTAGATCTATATCCTTTCGAGCTCCTCATGTCTAAGTGGGTCAATTTCTTCTATAATTTCATTGGAATGGATGAACATCTAGAGCTACCAACTTGGCATGTTTTGAATGAGACGTATGCCTCCATTACGAACCACTGCCAGTCTTGCTGTACTTATCTTAGGCCCTATTAACATTAGAAAACAGGAGGTTTAAAATACATACACTGTCATTAAGGCACCTGGTTTCGTCTCAAATACAAATACTTTAGGTACTGCACACTAAAAATGTATATACAATTCAGTAGGCCTATTTTTTGTAAATGGTCAGTCGAGCCATCATATTAAGAATAAATACGGCTAGACTGCCAGTCTAGCCGTCATTAAGTACGGCTAGCCTCTTCCATTTATAAATTGTCTAGGGTTTTGGTGAATGTATGCGTGCATACTGTCAAGATACAAAATGAAACAATAACATTCCCCGCATGGGCCTCAAACGGCGCGGCCAGCGCTCCGGGGCAGGTCACGAACGGTCAAGGCTAAGCGAGCCTGGCACGGAGCTCGCTCAGCGCTTCCGGTAAGCGCTACGAGGGTTAAGTACGGCAAGACTGGTTGGCTAGCTGTACTTAAGCTAGACAGCTGGGCTAGCCGTACTTATTCTTAATATGATGGCTAGACTGACTATAAAAAAAGGTAGCGTCAATTGCCACCGAGTGACGCGGTGGCAATTGACAAAAATTGACTTTTTGTTAATTGCCACCGAATGAAGCGGTGTCAAGTCTGAAAACAACACTATCTTTAGCACTATACATAATGTATGTGTAATGGATAAATTTGTTTTCAATAATTTCATGGGACGAGCATCTAGTCTAGAGCTACGGTACCAACTTGGCGTGTTTTCAATGAGACGTAGGCCTAGATCTAGGCTAGCCTTAGCCTACACTTTGGTGTAGAACCAACACAGGCAATTCTAGAAGTAGAAGGTCACAAACACTCACAAACTCAAGCAGAAATTCACTTTATATTGGGGAACATCAATCGGAGGACGGGGGTCAGGAAAAGACACACACACAAACACACACACACACAGAGGGACAGAGACGCGAACGAACAACACCGAGCACTCCAAGCACAATAAGCTATTTCTACCCACAAACGCAAAAGAGCGTCAATTTTTGTCAATTGCCACCGCGTCACTTGGTTTAAAATACCCGGCACTATTTCTCCGAACGTTCGGGAAAATAAAGCTGGGCACTATTTCTCCGAACACTCTGAAATCACACCCTTTCCCGCATATTTCGGATAATAAAAATAAAATATAGATCTATAATTATATTATAGGCCTACCAAAGATTGTTCGTATACAATATGGTTCAATCGGTCCAAAAAATGTCCGTATTTATATAAAGAAATGCTACAGTTCCAAACAGTTTTTCGCTACAGATATGACGTGTGGCCTATGAAGGGTGCTGCTCTTAAACTTAATGTGTTGCGTTCACTCGTGAGCTGTCTAGATCTAGATCTATGGAGGGTTATTGATAACGACACATAGAGCTAGCATCTGCGTTTGTCGAGGCCGCGACCAATCAATCGTGGCTCGATTTTTTGGTCCCCGAAAAAGTCAAAAAAAAAGAAAAGAAAATGAAACTCTTTACTTTTGAAAGAAAGTTCACTTAGCTTCACTTCGTCTCTTTCTCACTTGTTGTCACCACGTTGATTTGTTGAATACGTTACAGTTACATACGATTTGTATTGCTGTTCCTCTTTTATTTTTCGTTTATTTTTCCCTCTTTGTGGTGTTATATTTTGTTGGTGTGTATTTTTTTTTCTTGTTATTGTTCTGATGTGTTGTTTTTCTATTAATTTTTTTTGTTGGGGAAAAGGGGGGGGGGTTGTATAGTGTAACGTCATTTAATTTGATGTTCCTACAAAAGGTATTGTGTAACGTCATTTAATTTGATGTTCCTACCTTCATTAGATTCTAAATATATATACCTGTATAGATTTAAATGTGCTATGTTAGAGCGTTCCACCAAAACCAATTACATGTACTGACACTGGCAGGCCCCCTGTGTGTGATTCCATAATTTCCATGCAATATCCTGTACTTTTTAAAAACAAATTACGCACATTTAGGGTTAAAACGGTCAATCTTCTTCGGACAGGTGGACACACGCCCTTATTTGTTAATTGTTGTGGTTGTTTCTGGGCTGTTCTAGTTTTGATTTCATTCTGTTGTGAAACCTTTCTTTTTCACGTTTTTACACTCATCTAAAAATCTCTAGACTAGATCTAGCTCTTGAAAATTGAAATAGATCTAAACCCAAAAATTTGCTCCGGTTTTTTTTTTAATGGACGATAACCGTCCACTCAATAGAAAAGAGGGTCAAATTTCTCCGTCTCTCGGGTGCCTCAGGCAGTACCCGCCTCGCTAAACCAGTGGGCACACGGCCGGAGGGGAAGCTGAGAACAGATACCACCTTTGATTTGCTCCTTCCCAGACCTCGCAGAATGACGGAATGAAAGTTGGCGCCGAACTCTCGCAAATAGGCAAACAATCACGACCAGAGCGGAAGCCGGAAACCGTTCGGAGAAATAAAGATCGGCACTATTTCTCCGAACGTTCGGAGAAATAGTCACTTCGAAAAAAAATAGGCCTCCTGAATTGTAAATATAAATTTTTAGTTTGCAGGACTTACCTAAAGTATTTGTATTTGAGACGAAACCAGGTGCCTTTATGACAGTGCATGTTATTTTAAACCTCCTGTTTTCTAATGTTAATAGGGCCTAAGATAAGTACGGCTAGACTGGCAGTCTAGCCGTACTTAAGTACGGCTAGACTTCTTGGCTAGCCGTACTTAAGTACGGGTAACCAGCCAGGCTAGCTGTACTTAAGGACGGCTAGACTGTCAGGCTAACCGTACTTTATATTGATGGCTGAATTGTAAATGAAATTTTTAGTTTGCAATGCCTGAAGTATCGTATTTCAGACAAAACCAAAAGGTGCCTTACTGACTTGCATGTATCTGAACCTGAATAATTACTAGATCTAGATCTAATGAGACCTGTGTACTTAACAGGTGTGAGTCGGCAAGGCCAAACCTAGATCTAAGTTTAGTACGGCTAGACTAGCAGTCTAGCGACTTCGATATCAAAGTAGGCCTAATTTATAATTTAGCCTATAGGGCCCAGATCTAGATTCTAGAAGTCTAGATTTACTTTTAGGCTGGCTCTAGATCTAGATTCTAGATCTATTTCTCCCTTTGCTCGGGAAAATAAACTTGAACTCTATTTCTCCGAACAGTTTCCGTTCTCGAGATTTGTTGGTTATTTGCGAATGGAGTATCCCGCGTGTAGATCTATATGGTATGATGTGTGGTGTGTTTACTGTGTGGGTGTGTGTGTGTGTGAGACAGGTGGATAATTAGAATTAGAGAACGACAACTATACGCCATTGGCCAATATTTATAGGAACAGCCGTCTTGTTTGACGTCATTTGAGGGATTCCCACTTTGTTGTCATTCACGGTGGCAACATGACCACACGACGGCAGCCAGCAGCCTACCGACTCGGATTAGATCTAGATTTATTTTCTTTGCAACTTGCAGAACTGGGTAGCCGAGAACTGTTAGGTTCGGTTGTCTGTGATTGTGCAGCACCTTTCTTCCGCCCAGATTGATTCGGATGCTGTACTGCTGTACACTACGTAAATTGAGAAGAAAGATGATGACAGCTTTATCTTGCTTCCTCTCACTCACTAGATCTATATCCAGCGATTGCACTTGTGCCGATTGCTGGTGCGTGATACCAGCATCTTGCCAGCACACCACATCGCTTTACTGTGCCTTACACTTACATCGCACTTGCATACTCGTAGATGTGAGCGAGTGTTATCGATTTGAAGAAGACACAACGCTAGCTATCACAGCATTAGTTTAGCATCCATGAAGTATAGTCCGGGAATGTTGCCGCAACCACAATTAAAGTATCTAAATATTCAAGACATTTAAAAATCTCTAGATCTAGAAATCTAGCTCTCTGCTCCAGAAATTGAATTCGATGCAAAAAATGCTCCTTCCCAGTCACAGAATGGCGGAATGAAAGATCGCGCCTAAATTTCGCAAATGACAAAAAAATCTCGAGAACGGAAACCGTTTGGAAAAATAGAGGTTAAGTTTATTTTCCAGAGCACTCGGAGAAATGGTCAATTCGTAATTTAAAATAATAATAATTTTCGAACTTCACTTTTCTTTTTTTACTACTACAGACTACTCGTCTTCTTTTTTACTATTACTGCTTACTCCCTGTGACTGCCTACCAGCTGAAATTGCCTTTCTGTTACTACAGTACAATCTGGCCTGTCCAGCCCCCTGAAAATACTCTTTCTTGCGCACAGCAATTGTAAATGATATGCAAATACACATGAATAATGCAGCAGTTTGCAGCGGGACTTAAGCCTACCTTTGAAAATATGATGACTATTTTAATTAACTGGGGTTGTGTAGACTGATTTTTTTTCCCCCAACTCAAATTTTTTTTGGAGACTTCTGAGAAAAACTCATATTTTTTGTCAAGTAGTCATTGGCAGGTGTATGCTTCCATCTCACTGAGGCTTTCGTTTATTTTTGTTAAAGAAAAAGCTGAAATAGCCGTTACCCTGTTCAGTGACTTGTGTTTCTTATAAAACCATTTAAAAAAGGAACAGGTTTTTTTTTGTCAGAGCAGACTTTGATTTTATGTAATTTTTTCCCTGCATGTATGTAGTGAAGGTTTCTTGATGGGAGTAGTGGGAGTGTGACTTATCGAATAATCCACAAATAGTTTCGTTTACCCTGCAACTTCTTTTTGTATGTGCTCTGGAGAAGTCTGAATTTATTTTTTATCCTAATTATCATCAAAATTAAGTACGAATGAAAGAATCCACCTCCCCAGGAATTTTTTCTTCAGTCCGATAAACATTCTCTCAATTAAGAAATAACCAGAAACTGGTTTCAATGCATTTTATCAAGTTGTGTTCAAGATATACAAACGCATTTTAAATGTTTATGTTTTAATTTTAGTAAAGTTTTTACGGCGCTTGCAACTGCAAACGGTCATGTGAGCGCCAAGGGGTGGATGTCAACAGAGAAATTCGAATAAGGAATCAGGCTTTCTCTACTTACCTCTCTAGCCTCAGCAGCACAAAGTCACTTCTGTCAGTGGCATTGCCCGGGGAACCTGTGTTTTGACAGTGAAATAGTAATAGTTCAAAGTATATAAGTGTGATGTGCACGCCTATCAGCTATTTCCAGGACTTTTAATATGTTCTTGATCCATTTATTTCCCCCAAGGCACTGGGTATATACAGTGTTCTTTTACTGTAACTGAAGAGATCATGCAATTGTTATTCTTCATACAAATGACCAGCAGGTGGTTTGCAGGTGCTCTGGTGTAGTTAACTCCTTTCCTATCAAACCTCTGTTGTTATATCTCTCCTTTTTAATGTTTTTTACTCTTTTGTAACACCTCTAACCTTTGGCACTTATATATGATCTAATTGTGTTGCCAGTGCTTAAAAAAGCTACTAAAACAAAACAATAAATAAAGGACCCCCCCCCCCCCCCCCCCACACACACACACATTTTTTACATATTATTATATAATGACACTGTCCCTAACACCCACCCGTCTAAGACAACCACTTTTCTTTCAGATAGTGAGTGGCTGTCCAGGTCAAGTTCAACTGTGTAATCAGTCTCCATTAAAGAGTTTTGCTTTTTCTCATATTCGCAGGATCAGAAAAGCTTAGGGAAAAAGAAAGGCTTGAAAAATCAAAAGGCTTTGTCTGAGGAGGTTGAAAGTGATTCTGATGTTGACAGGTGAGTGAGCGATTGTCAGTAACATGAGGTATCCTGTGGAAAAGGCAGATGTTATATTAATCTTGCCTCTTGTCACAGCATGTGTTGTCTCCCTGAATTTTTATAATCATGGGAACTTCTATTTCATCTCAGATCAGGACCACACATCCCCTGTTGGATGAGCATTATTGATTTTTTCCTCCATTCTTCTTCTTCAAAGGCTGCTAGAAATGTATTATAGTGTACTGAGTTGCTGTCTTTTATTTCTCGTTTCACCCGAGTTGGGCTTACATATAGTTTTTGGTCACGTTATTACACTTAAAGTTTGGCATCCCACAGCTAAGTGATGTTAATCATATGAAATAATGAAGCACTCATATCTGTTTTCCTCATTTTAAAGGTCCTAGTCTATAGTTATATTATACAATAGTTGTAGAAACCCAGTAATACATGTACTACAGAAGATATTAATGATAGTACAATTTTTACCGTTGAATTTAATATAATTTTAACATCTAATGTGACAATCTTTTCTTAATGAGTAAAACTTTGTGTTTTGAATGATGGTTTAGAACTTCAGTATGATTTTGTGAAAATACCATCAAATGCCCATATTTCGTGACCTCAGTGCTTTCTTGTCCAATTTTCACTTTTTTTAAAGCATTGAAAATGTGGCCTTTTCTTACGCTCACTCTTTGTTATGAACTGGTTTCACTGTTATTAAAATGGAAATAGGACAAGAAAGCACTGAGGTTGCAATTTGAAGGTTGTGCTCAGAAGTCTGTCTTTCTTTTCAACTCACTTGTTGGTGTTAGTTTTGTACCTCTCTAAAGGCCCTTTTTATTCCTTTGTATTTTCAATGTCAATCTCTGCTACTTTCACAGTCCCTCCCTCTTTTCTTACCCAATTTCCTCCCTGTTATACACAGTCACTTTTTCACTCTTTCTTCCTTTTCAGAAGGAAGTCCAAGTATCTTTTCCCTTTTTTCTTATTTTCAGTGGTGATGTCTCTGTTTATGAAGACTGTATTTCTGTGCTATTTCTGCCTTTCCACTGTTCTCTCCTCACTTAACTCAAGTTTTTGAAAAGTATAGCAGAAGGGATAGTGGATTGATCAACTTTCTCCTTTTCTTCCAATAAGTTTTTTTCATATTGTCTTTATCTCTCCTTTTCTTTGTATATGACCCTCTTGTAAAACCTATAATCTTTAGCACTTATATGACCATACTCTTACTAACACACAGCTTTCACTGCCATACGGCCTTTTCCTTCAGCAGTAATGAAGCAACAGAAACTAGAGGAAAATTCTACAGCTCAGATGAGGATGAGGAAGAAACACCACAACAAAAACGTTTGCGTCTTGCCAAAGAGTATTTGTCTCAGCTAGAGAATGAAGGTATGTGCTCACTTACTTTAAAGAAAAGGTCAAATGAGTTCTCAGTTTCTGTATAATGCAAGTCAAGAGTTTAAAAAAAAAAAAAAGTTCATCATGTTGTACCCTCGACTTTTGTATGTGGTAAATTATGCCTTGACTGAGTGTCTATGTTAGTGGATATGAATAATTTGTTTAGGCTCAGATCTCATACTAAATTATCTTTAATATGTTGCCATTAGATACCTTCTAGTAAAATGTTGTAACTGAGTTTTTTCTATCTTTCAGAGGCAGAAAATATTGAAGATGAGGATGCTGTTAAACAAGCAGTTTCAAGTCGTTTGCAGCATGATATTGTAAGTGTTCCTTTCCTTGATTAATTCGTCTGCTTTATTCAGATATTAGAATCGTTTCATATACTTGTGAGCAAAAGCATTTTTTTTTCTTTTGTTTGTGGTATCCAAACATTTGTTGGGTTAGGGAGCGTTCACTAATGACATCAGCTGAGGGGGGGTCCTTACAAAGTTGACATCAACCCATGATGTCCTAAAAGGTTGTGAGAAAAGAAAAGAGAGGAAGAAAAAATGTTATGTACCACGTTTTCTTGGCAAACACAATTAACACAGTTAAATTGGACCTGGGAAAGATGGGGGGGGGGGGTCATTTTTGGCCAAATTTTAGTGATGTCATTTGTGAACGGTCCCTCATCTGAAGAAAAATTACCCTCAGACCCAGTTGATATACATTTTTGTTGTTGCTTTGTTTATTTCTGTTGTGAAAAATGTACTGTACACTTGTGTTTATCATAATTCCTTCTTTAAGAAGTGAGGACATGGACAGCCAATATCTCATTCAAAGTGATAGGACTTTTTTTTTTCTTTATGTAGGATATTTTTAACTGGCAGATTTTCTAAGTTTTTGTTACAGGTTGCCTAGTTACTCATGTTTTGGCATGTTTTTTTGTATTGTCGAAATTTTTAGGTAATTCTTTTTCAAATATTAAAGTAGGTATGCAGTCTGTTGTTAAATTTTGCGCATCAGGAAATTGGGAGCTTTTCTGGAATGATTATGTAAATCTATATTCAGATAGACTCCAGGAATGTTGAACATGGCGTTTCATCAGTCGTAATGACATTAAACATTATTATTTGAAAACTTGTTGCGATTTCACATTCTTGTGAATTATATGATGATATTGACACTGAAATAATATAATGTTAAATAAATTATTTTTTTCAGTCTGAGCAGGCTGGAAAACTGACAAAAGAAGTTGCAGACACTGTGAGTATAAAAGCTTTTTTTTTGCTTGTCATTGTCAGTGTTTGTTCACACATACGTCTCAATTAGTCAAAATACTTGAAATTTGTTGTATGTGCCGTAAGACACTTACTTAAAGGAAAGTCTTGAAAATTTGTTAGATTACAATATTGATGATAAAGAGATTGAAATTTGAAACATAGTAAAGAATGACTTTCGTACAATGTGTAGTTACCCTTTTTATTGTTAAACAATTATTATTTGTATATTGTTTTAAATTTAATTTGATTCTAAAATTCAGTTTGCATCGATTCTTTTCTAATTTTTGTGAAAACCATTTCTCAGTGATGCTTTTTGAATTTCTATATGATTTCAGAAAATATCCACAAAACGAAAGTATGTGAAATTTGTCTTGGAATGAAAGTTGAATTCCTTTTTACAATGGTTTTTTTTTTGGATTCAGCTTCTTCTCAACCTCACTTGTTTCTGTTTGTTTTCTGCCTGTTATGTGTTTTTCTCCATCGCTCAGCGATGGGGAGGGAGAGAGAGAGAGAGACAGAGAGAGAGAGCGGGGGGGGGGGGGGGTGTGGATGTGCTTGATTTAAGGACGAAGGACAAAGAAATATATATGTCCATTGAATCTGATGCCCATAATTTTATCTTATTTCATTACTTTTTTTTCTCTTCCCGTTTCAGTGCTCATGCCCCCGTCCGCAAGATCTGCGAGTCTTCAGGGGACACAGTTTACCTGTTACAGCTGTTGTGATAACTCCAGACGACAAATTTGTGTTCACAGCTAGTAAAGACTGCAATATTTGCAAATGTAAGTAACCATAATGAAATAGTTGTGACGCACTCTGGCTGGATTATATTCCACTGATCAGTGGTCATATGTGTCATGGTGTGTGGTTGAATCACATGTTTGTAAATTTTTGGGCATTTGGAAACTATAAATTTACATGTTTTCTGCTGTTGATCAACGACGTTTTTCAGTAAAATCCACACAGAAATGTATTTTATATGGGCATACAATTTTTTTGAGCCAAAACAAAAGTTCGATAAATATACCAATGGGCGGAAAAGTGCCAGTTTCTTTTATTTCAGTTTTGTTATGAGTACCTGACTTCACCACGATGCCACACATTTGTTTTAGAAAGTACTACAGATCTAAAAGACAATTGCTTTTTAGAAAGTGTTAGGAGTCAAGTATACTGTCTAAATACTCCATGCTGTACTAAAATTCATAGAGAAAAACTTGCTATATTGCCACCATTTTAAAGCTTCCCTGCCCTTTTGTGAACTACATAGCTTATCTTTTTCCCTTTCGGTGGAAATGAATTCATTTCAGATATCATGAAATCATGATGAGCAGATAGTAGGCTTTTATGATTCAAGTTCAGTATGGAAGCGACATTTTGATGTTATCTTTTTCCCCCCTCCACTTCACTTCACCAGGGGATGTGCAGTCTGGCTTGAAAGTGAAGACTATCAAAGGTGGTCGGAAAGGTACAGAGGATGTCCACATAGGACACACTGACCACATTCTGTGTCTGGCTATCTCCTCAGATGGTAACTTTCTGGTAAGTTCTACTGAATAGGGTTATTGATTTTTAGAGAAGTTGAAAGTTTGAGCTCTTTTGCTCAGTGTTCTTTGATTTTTGGGTACATTATCAAGAGTGGCATTTTAAGTTAGCAACGGGAAATTTGTGTTTTTCCTGAGTATGCAATGCTTTTGTTGTTTGTTTATTTATTTCTTTTTTCAAAGCAATTCGACTTACTCCAAAAAAAATGTAGTGCTCAGTCTTAGCTTAAGGTGTGGGGTGGGGCCTGGTATGATTAGTTTGTTTCAAGTTTTGTTATTTGATTATCTCTCCAGGCAGCAGGAGACATGAACAACATGGTGAAGTTATGGAACCCACATGACTGTAGCTTCATTCATAAGTTCAGAGGTCACAGAGGACCTGTTACTGTGAGTATTTTTCTCAAACTTGCAAGAAGTATAGAGCCAGTGTTTGGAGGGCACTTCCTGTAGGTCACACTCCTTTATTTTTCCTTCTGTTGTTCTTGTCCATCTGTATCGCTCTTTACCTGCCTTAACTCTTTATCCCGGCTCACGGTCTTAACCCCTGTGCCGGTGAGCCGCTGACAGTGGCTCGGGCACATTCCTTTACGGCGACTTCGACATCAAATTACTTTTCGGCAGTTGCCGAAAACAGGTCTCTTATACTGGAAGTTCACTCATTAGATAAGGAACAATCAAAATAGGTTTGCTAATTTCAATTTAATGACCCATTTAATGACGTTTTTGTCATTTTTAGATTTAGCACCAAAAAAGGGCCCAGGCGTAGTAGGTTTACCCCCCTCGGAGATAAAGAGTTAAATGGGCGGGTGTTCTGGTGTGGTTTGCTCTTTTTTTCCTATTAGATATCTGTTGTCCCTATCTCCTCTCTTTCTTTTTTGTGTTTGTTACTCTCTTGTAACACCTCTAATCTTCAGCACTTGTATGATGATCATATTGTGTTGCAAATGCTGTAAAACTTACTTTACACTTTGCTGTCCCATCTGGCCGATCGGTGATGTTTACCACCCAGTTTCTTTGGTTTTCCCCCAAAATGCCTTTACCTTTGATGGCAAGGGTTTTTACTGTATGAGTCTTGTGATGGTAAAGTGTTAAACTAAAACTTGCCTGCTTTAAATGGCAGTTATTGTGTCAATGGACACACTTCTCAAAACAGTTAAAGAATTTTCCAAATTTGAAAAAATAACTGGAACAGTTGGTTGGCGAGGGCTCTAGTGTAGTGTAGCCTTTCTAGTTTTTTTCTGTATTTTTACTGTCCTAGTTTGTTCTTTCAAAATGCTGGCCATTATTGTATTGAGTTGCCATAACTGTCGACATCAAACACAGCCACTATATAAATCTATTTCTCCCATCTTGAATTAGTATGGTGCCGAGTTCTTTGACTTAGTTTGGTTCTTGAACCTGTGAATATTTCCTTTTTTTTTCTCATATCGGATATATGCATTTACAGGGTTTCCCTGGAGAGACCACAAAAGTGTATGGGTTGTTAGTGAGGATTTTAAAGGGTTTATCCCCAATTATTCCTTATACTTTGTTTTGCCTTTCTGCTTTGCAATTTTTATACATAAGCTAATGGTGTTAGTTAATGATTCTAAGGAATTCCTGCCCAATGAAAACATAATGTAATAAGAATAACAGTCAATCTCATATGACTTTGATGAATGTTATATTGGGTCTTTGCTTCTCTTCACCTCTTTTGTATACCTTTTTTGTTTCAGGGCGTGTCTTTCAGAAAAGGTACCCACACGTTGTTCAGTTGCTCAACGGATAAAGCGGTGAAAGTCTGGAGTGTTGATGAACTAGCCTATGTGGAAACTTTGTGAGTGCATATTTGATGTTCTTTATGGGAGTTCTTTTTTAGTTGTAGCCCTGAAAGTTTTTGATATTCCGTTTTATTTGGCGGCTCCTCTTGTTTGCTTCTGTACCTATACATCATAATTATCACTGCTGCATATAAGAGAATTTTCAATGCTTCGTTGTGTTTTTTGATTGTCAGCTGAATGAAAACCCTTTTTCGGAAATTTTAAAAGAATTATAATGAAAAAAGAGGTCTAATGCTGTAAGAAACATTAGTCATTTTGCTGGCTTGTTGCTAGAGATAATGACATTTTATTTGATTTTGAACAGTCAGCAATACAATGAAAGTGTGTGTAATAGTCCATGTCAGTGACACCCACAGATTAATTTTTTTAAAAAGAGCGTAATATATTCATCCACAAGTAGAATTAAATGTCTTCTGAAAACTTTATAAAGTTCAAATAAAAAGTGTGCAGACTAGGTGCATTTTTATGTGGTAAAATGATGATGATAGTGTTGCAGACAATAGGTAGGTGCTTAAAAGTGGCTCGAATGAAAGACCAAGACTCGTTTTCATTTCCCACTTTGTTACTATGTGCTAAGTTATTTTCAACTGCAGGTCAAGAATTTGATGTGTGTTTATGTTATTAAGCAGTAGAAGTATTCACCCCGATACTGTAGGGTTCAGGGCCGACCGCAGAAGTGCGCAACCCTACTATCTCGGGCTCAGTGCTGAGTGAGTTAAAATGCTCGATAATTTCAGTCTCACGGAGTGTATGTAAAATTTGTTCACTTCTCCAAAAACTTCCAGTTTATAATCACTGTGGCATACAGTCTGGCACGGGCATAACAAAATCTGTGGGTTGCAGAAATTTGTTCATTATGCACAAGTTTCGCTAGGTAGGTGTTATAAACACTAAGAAATACAAACATAAGAATAAATTCAGGACCTGAAAATCTGTTTGCTATGTGCATTGCTAGACTGTATTTGGTCAGACAAATTTGAAAATCTCCTTTCTAGATTGATGTTACAAATGTTATTTTCCTTTCCTCGTGAAAATGTATTCTCAGCACAAGATCATCCTATATTTATCCATCATTGATTTGGTAGAGTTCCTGTTACTGGGGGAGGTCATTGTCATAACATTTATTTTCTCCTCTATGTTTGTATTGATTTCAATTCCTGTTTAAGTCCATACTTTTTCTTTTTTAATGCAGATATGGACACAATTCCCCCATCACGTGTATAGACAGTTTGAACAGGGACAGAGCTATCACGTCCGGGGGCAGTGACAGGTCTATCCACATCTGGAAAATCCCGGAAGATTCACAGTTACTATTTTACGGCCATGAGTAAGTGACTATGATCTTCATTCCCTCTTCTAGATACATGGATTGACGTTTGGTTGGGCTGCTTTATTGCCTATGGCTTCCTGACGTGGAAGTTTTCTTTGTTTTCTTCATTTGTTTATCAAGAAAAGAACTAATTGCAATAATAAATAGCATGATATCCAGCTGTCGGTGCAGTAAAATGTAAAATTTTGTGTTTTAAATGAAAGAAGTACAATAAACAGTCTTTATTAAAGTAACATTGCGGTGAGAATTCTGCTACTTATGGCAGACAATTGAACTGTGTCATACATTTATTTTTAATCTGGGGCTCTAAGGGTAGCTGTGTTTTGGTCAACTTCTTAACTTTTTCGCAGTCTTGTATTGATGATCATGTTCTAACAGTGCAGCTTGTAGCCTACTTCCCAGTTGACATCACTGATGCACTTCTTTAATAAGACAAATATACTCCTTCTGTGTTTTTCCTTGAAATGATGCTTTTACTCCGTATAAATTTTTAAGACTTGAGAATTAATGTACATGGTAACTAAGATGTTACATTTACCACAACTTCTGACTAGTTGTAACAAGTCAAGAAAAATGAAGGCATTTGTTACTGGTTATCAAGATCTGTTGTTAGGAATCTTTGAAAATGAACTCGCATGCTAAGAAAACCTTGTTACAGTGTCACAGAGGGGTAAATAATGTTTGTTTCGTTTTTTTTCTTATCTTTTTTACTAGGGGCTCCATTGAGTGTGTGGCTTTGATCAACGAAGGGAATTTCTTCAGTGGTTCGGAAGACAGGTAAGATGTAAACCCACTTGCCAGTTGGAGGGTGTTTTTGTGTATGATTACAGATCTCTAGCGGTATGTTTTGTCTGCTTTTTACTGCAGTAGGCTTATGTTGTTGCCCAAGTATTAGAGAAAATATCTTATTCTTGTATCCAGGGTTGGTGATTTTTTTGATTTTTTAAATAAAAAAAAAAAAAATCGATTTTAAAAATTTAAATCAAGATTTTTAAAATTTTAATCGGATTTTTAAATTTTTAAAAAAAATGTCGGCACAGTTTGTGATTTTTTGTGGCTAAAAGTAAGTTCTTTTAGTGCAAAATGCATTGTCTTTATTTTAACTAATGATTAATTTAAGCAACTGCAATTTTAGAAAGCCTTTATCTTCTAGATCTATATCAGTGAATTATGGCTACAGACAAAAAATAAAGAAAATGTCAGTCTAAAAGGAAGGGGTTATGCGTAGATAAACTTGCATTTTTATTACAGTGTATGTGTGCGCGCGCTTGTGTTTGTCTAAAAAGAAAAAGAAAATGATAATTTCAATTATGAAAAAAGAGTAAATTGAATAGATCTACAGTATTATTTTACTACTTACAGTGACAGGGGGGAAAGCAGACTTTTAAGCATAATTATTTTAGTCTACTAAACCTTTTATCATCTGTTTTATAAAACCAAGGAAAGGAATTCTGAATGTTTAAAGATGTAAAAACAGAATACTTTTTAAAAAAGTGATTTAAATCACTGAGTTTTATTTTTAAAATCAAGTTGATTTAAATTTTAAAAAATCAACTGATTTAAATCGACCTGATTTAAATCAACCCAACCCTGATTTTCAATTATGAAAAAAAAGTAAATTGAGAACTGTATTATTTTACAGTGACGGGGGAAAGCAGACTTTTAAGCATGATTATATTAGTCTACTAAACATTATGTTGTTTAATAAAACCAAGGAAAGGAATTCTGAATGTTTAAATATATGTAAAAACTGAATACATTTTTTTGAAAAGTGATTTAAATCACTGATTTTAATTTAAAAAATCAAGTTGATTAAAATAAAAAAAATCAACTGATTTAAATCAACCCAGCTCTGATTTCAATTATGGAAAAAAAAAGTAATTTGAATATGTATTATAATTTTACAGTGAAAAGGGGGAAAGCAGACCTTTAAGCATGAATATATTAGTCTACTAAACCTTATATTATATCTGTTTTATGAAACCAAGGAAAGGAATTCTGAATGTTGAAATGTGTAAAAACTGAATAGAAATAAATATTTTAAAAAGTGATTTAAATCACTGATAAAAAAAAAAAATCAATTTGATTTAAATTTTAAAAAATCAACTGATTTAAATCAACTCAACTTGATTTAAATCAACCCAACCCTGCTTGTATCTTTAGATGGTGTTGATGACCAGCACAGTTTTTTTGGATATCAGGACTTATATTGTGCAAGCTTTAAATAAAAAAAAAGTAGATTAAAACATTTACGACTGACACATAGTTTAGTAAAAGAATTTGCGGAAATTATGTGGACTGTTGCCATTTAACGCTTTGCTATGTTTACAGAGCTTTAAGGTCAGGTTGTAAGACAGTTTGATGTAAGTTTACAACTTCTTATGAATATCTTTGAATTTTCAGTAACACTTTGTGAATATCTTACATTTTTTTCTAGTTCCCTGTGTCTGTGGAGTGTGTTGAAGAAGAAGCCATTAGTGACGCGGCAACATGCCCATGGCACACCAGCAGGTCAAAACAGTGAGGACTGGATTTCTGCAGTGGCTGCCTTGCAATATTCCGATCTGGTGGCTTCAGGTAAGAGTTTTTTTTTTTCTGAGGTGCAGATTCCCTATCTGTTTTTTATGTGACAGTTTACGCTCCCTTCAAAAATGTGAGGCTCTATCTTCAGTGTGCCATCTGTGTGGTCTCTTTTCTATATGAGACAGTGGGGGTCCGTCGTCTTTTTGCACTGTGTAGATCGGTGGGGGGGGGAGAGGGAATTGGTAGGTTTTCTTCTTCTTTTTCACTGTTATAATAATATTTGCATTTATATAGCGCATATCCATGCTGTACGGCATGTTTTACCCACTTCACAACTATGGTAACTCCAGCAGACCCTAGAACAATCAGAAACATTCTCCACTTCCTACAGTGCGAGCAGATGATCAATGGTTCAAACACTTGTCGGGGGCTTTCGTGGCCTAGAGGTTAAGGTGTTGGCCTCTCATTCAAAGGTTCCGGGTTCGAATCCGGGTAGCAACCGAAACATTTTCTTCTCTAAAATTGTCTCCTTTCACCTCCTTTCCTGCTCTTTAGCAATGTTCTGTTGTCTGCTTTCATTTCCACTTTCTGCCCCCACCCCCTCACCTCCTTTGCCCCCTCCTCTGGGCTCCTAACTCTTTCTGCAGCCTTTCTACTGCTACTCCTTGGCTCCTCCTTACTGCTGTCTTTCTGCCACTCCCCTGATCTTCTGGTAGGAAAGATCTACACCTAGCCTTCTCGGACAAGGGCGAAAAATCTCGGTGGGCCCGTGTGCAAGTTGCGCACGTTAAAGATCCCTTGGTGGTCTAAAATCGATAAGAGTAGGCTTCAGCCGCCACCCGGGCAAAATTCAAAATTTCCTACCAACTGAAAATATTAGGTGTGTCCCACACGCTCATATGACCTTATGCAGTTGCGAGCGCCGTAAAACACTTTACAACAACAAAAACAAAACAAACACTTGTCAAACTGACGAGATCTTTTGTTGTTTATAGCAGGGTACCCTTTCCATCTTGGTGAAGTGATGAAAAGTTGTGAAAAGCACCTTTCCCAAGGATCCAACAGCAGTCCCCCTTTTGTTATTCGAGCCCATGACCTTGCTGTTGAGAGTCTGAGAGTCTAACCATGAAACCACTGATGCCACCAGTCTGTCTTGCTTTTTCCGTGCATTAAATGACCATTATTGTTTAGAAATTAATCTGTTACTGGAAACAAGAAAAGAGTACTAAAAAGTTACATCCAGCCAATCCTATTATACAGGTGCGAAGCTTGGACAATCAATAGATAGCTGGAAAGAACAATGGAGGCGACAGAGTTGTGGTTCATAAGACACATGCTGCATACAGCTAGAAAAACAAATGAAAAAGTCTTGGTTGAAGCAAATTGCAGATGACAGCTTATGACGGATATTCGAAAGCGACAGGCAAAGTTCATTGGGCACACAATGCAGAAAGAAGCATTGGAGAATATGTTGCAACAACAGGAAAGTTTGATTGAAAGAGAGGCAGAGGCAGACAGGGGGAAAAGTTGCCGGACAAGTTGACAACATGGCTGGGAATAGCAAGAACGACAGACACCATCACTGCAACGCAAGGCAGAGTGAAGTGGAGGTCCATGATCGCCCACGCCAGTATGCAAGTCACCGGATGATGATGATTGTGTAGATAACTCCCTTTCTCACACAAACAAAACCACAAATTCCTTATTTATTTGAATTTGTCTGTCATTTCAGGTTCCAAGGATGGTTTGGTTCGACTTTGGAAATGTGGCCCCAATTTCAAGAGTCTGTCTCCTCTGTTTGAAGTGCCTGTGGTGAGTTTTTTTCTGGGTATCAACAGCTTTAATTTTGACATGTTTTATTTGATAAAAATGTTTTGCTATTGGCGTGGCTACTGGAATTGTGATCTATGATTTAAGGGTTGTAGGTTTAGTTCCCTGCAGATCTCGGTTTGATTATGTGCCCCCAGGACAAATGCCACAGGATTTTCAGTTCACCCCTTGAAATGAAATGTAAATCAGGTATTTGTCTCTTGGGAGGAGGAAGGGGGGGGGGGGTAGCGTTTGATCTGAAGCAGAGTAGTTCTCTCTACAGGAGGTGGTCTATGTTCTTTTATTCCACTTTCTTTCTTTAACTCTTTATGTCTCTGACAAGCGGCTGCCAGTGGCTCGCTGTCGGAACCGCTGTGTCGATGAGCAGCTGAGGCACATTCCTTTACAATGACTCCAGCATCATATTAGTTTTTGGCAGTTGCCAAAAATGTCTCTTTTACCGGTTCTTTCATTAGGTGAAGAAATACCAAAATATGTTCTTTTGTTTTGGTTTAATGACCAATTTAGTGATGTACTGTGATATGTCACTTTTAGATTTGGTTTCAAAAGAGGGTCGTGGTGTAGTGGGTTTACACCCCTCACTCCAACTCCATCCCCTGCGGAGATAAAGAGTTAAGTTATTTAAGCTACAACAACAAAAAAAGAATTTGTTCCAGTAAAAATGTATATGAAAGGTGAAATAATATTTTAATTTTCTGTTTCAGAATGGCTTTGTGAACAGTTTGTCCTTTTCAAGCAATGGAGACTTCTTAGTGGTGGGTGTAGGACAGGAGCACCGTCTGGGGAGATGGTGGAGACTAAAAGATGCCAAGAATGGATGGGTGATCATCCCTCTGAAAGGACTTGACCAATCGAGTGATGATTCGGGTGCTTCCGAGAGCTCGGAAGAAGGGAGTGATGATGATTCAGGGAATTCTGATTGAAGACACTTTTTGAACACTGCATTTACTACTTTGCTGCAGAGGTGTGTCACTGGGACTGAGGTGATGTGATACATCATGGTCTGTAAGATCTTGGACTAAGCATTGACCATTGTCTCCGGAGAGCTTTTGTAAAAGATAGCCATTGTTTTAAGATAATTAATTACGTGGCAGGTTTGCTTCGTCCCTTTTTCCATGGTTTTGTATTATTTTACTTTGAAGGGCACACGTACCCACTTTCAAAAGGATTTGACTGTAATTAATTTACATTCTTGACTTGAACAAAGGACCTTTGTCTGGTTATGTTCCTTTGTTGGTGCATACTGAAAAGTTGAATCTCAGGACTTGGCAAAAGAATACACCTTGTAATTCAAACCTATTATTCATTGTCACTGGCAAGGTATGTAGACTTGGCAAAACTACTTTGCTATTTCAAAGGTATTGAGAATGTGTGCTTAGAGTTTGGCTGCAGAGCATGTGTGGAAATTTCCCTGATAAGCCACTTCATGAATGCATATCCTGACCTGATTTGAACCTAAAGCATTGATGACCTGTGGTCATTTCTTTTTGTTTCCTTCAAAATAAACCAGTTGTCTAGTTTTATATTTTTGTCTTTCACAAGATCTATTGGAGCACTGCACATGTGCTGCCTGTCTTTGTATTATAGAGCAGAGCGTGGAAATTGGCCTCTTGAACGTCTGACATGTATATCCCCAGTAGACTTTGTTACCTGCCAACCTTAGATCATTAAAATATGATTGTCATCATCATTCAGTGTAAATAACATGTTTACCTATTGATGGAGTTATGCTCTTATTGTGTGAGTGGGAAGATAGGTCAACTCTTATTTAGCTCTAAAACGTTGCTGAGGTTGATCCGTGTATCCTAAAAAATCGGGGATCCGCGTGTTCTATATAATTGACAACATAAAAGTACTGTGGATTATTTTTAATGTCTTTTCTCATTTAAAGCGGGGAGGGGGTTGGCGTATCGAAAAGTTTTGAAGAAACCATTTACACGGTGAGAGTATAACACTATTGATATGCTAAGCCAAGGCCCTGAAAATGAAATGGCACTGAGAGTGCATGTTAGTTGTACACTTCCAGACAAAACTTGTAACATGTTTGTTCTGTAATATTTCTTTTGTGACAGGGCTTGGGATTTAGCCATTGTCTCACAAATGTATGAGCGTGTTTGGCAAATGTTGAGAATGGAAGATAATAAATATGAAATAATATAATGTGTTATTGTGTGTTGTTTTAGTCATTGTCTTGTTATCTTAAGGAGTTGAATTATTGATTATCCAGTCTAAAGTTTGAAATCAGCGGATTTGTTTTCCAGTCAGGATGGTTGAATAGGGCGAGCTGTTGGATTTATTGGTATCGTGCTTTACTATGCTGAGGATGAACCTCCTGTCTGTGGGAGAAACATTGGAGTAAACAATTTATAAAACTCACAACGTCGGGCCCACACAAACCTTCGGGTTTCTCCAGAAGGGACGAAGCTATATTTACTCGATTGTGTACCGCACGTACCTCCTTGACACATAAATAAATAACTAACACATAAATACCAACTACAGGGAGAGGAGAAACCTTTCTGTGTAACCTTGATGTGATACTGACTTTACCAAAAGACACATACTAACAGAATGTTCGGACTTTAGAGAGACCCGAAGGAAGTATAAATGTGTAGAAATTTGAAAGATCCTCGATTTTAATACAGGCTATGTGCCTTCTCATAGTAAAATGTAAATATGTTATTTTAATTAAATGTAAATAGCTGTTGGAGGGCTCTTGTGGTCTAGAGGTTAAGGTTTTCACCTCTCATTCAATTGGTCCCGGGTTGGAATCCGGATAGTGATGGAATATTTACTTGTTTAGCATTTTTTTCTTTTACATCCTTTCCTGCTCTCTATATTTCCACCTTCTGCCCCCACCCTTTCTCCCAGTTTGCCCCCTCCTCTGAGCTCATGACTCTTTCTGCAGCCTACTGCTTCTCCTTGGCTCCTTCTTACTGCTGTCTTTCAGCCACACCTTTGATCTTATGGTAAGTAAAATCTACACCTAGTCTAGCCTTCTCGGATAAAGGCAAAAAATCTCAGAGGTCTCATGTGCAAGTTGCGCACAATACAGATCCCTTGGTGGACCAACATTGATAAGATTAGGCTTCCGCCGCCACCCTGGCAAAATTCAAAATTTCCTACCAACTGAAAATGTTTAATGTGTCCTGCGCGCTCATATGAATGACCTTATGCAGTTGTGGGTGCTTTAAAACAAATTTTAACCCTTTAATTAGATCATTGACCAAAACCAAGCTGTGTTGCGAACTGTTTTGAATGCAACCAACTTATGTTTCACCACTCGTATGACCTTATAAATTTTGCAGTTGCGAGCACCATAAAATTCTTACTAAACAAACAGCTGAGAATGAACGTGGTTCAAATCCCCAAATCGGATGTTCATTAAGTTGATTTGTATGGTGGAGTTCTCAATGATCTTTAAATTCCTCTTGTCCTATAAAAAACTATGATTCTTACCCCTCCTCCCTCTTTCCTACCAAATATCTATTGCCTTACCGTTTCGCCTTCTTTCCTATCAAATTAGACAATTATCTCTCTTCTTTTCCTTTCAAACATCCGTCGTCCTTATCTCTCCACCTTTATTTGCTTTGTATGTTACTGTCTTGTAATACCTCTAATCTGTGGCACTTATATATGCTTTATTTGTGTTGCAAGTGCCGTAAAACTCTTTCTAAAATTAAAAACTAAAGACATTTAATTCAGGCGTCCTACCTCGTATATAATATAACCTTTCGTAAATGCTTGACCCTGATCCATATTTCTACATAATTCAAAACTGGTTCAGTCATTCTCCCTCTCTCACACATTCTCTCTCTCTCTCTCTCTCTCTCTCTCTCTCTCTCTCTCTCTCTCTCTCTCCCCCCCCCTCTCTCCTGATGTATGTGGTGAAGCTGTACACTGTACTGTTAGGCGCTTCTCTGTTGCACTCAAGAGACTCGAGTTTGATTCCCGAGAGGGTAGACTTTTTATCGAGTATCTTGGTCTTTCTGCTGGGGATGCTGTATCCCTCTCAACCCAGGATGGACCTGACAGGCAGGGTCAGAAACCCGCCCTCTGAATGATCTAAATTCTAAATTATCATTGGGAGTTGTAAAAATGCCTACATTGTTCTGTCTGTCTGTCT